TGAATTTCTTCCTCCAGGCCTCTATTTATAGGCTTCTTGGATTAATAGGATGATGACACGTGTCCTCTCTTGATAAGGACAAAATCATAATTGGGCCGGACCGGCAATATTGTGATGATTTTCAATAAAATAATTATTCCAAATATATTTTATTAGGAATAATTATCTTTTTATTTAATCATTTGGGCTGGGCTAATTAAATAATTTAAGTGGACCAAGTTTGGGCCAATTAAATAATTTAATTCAACATGAGACCCATATTTAATGGGTAAATTTGTCAAAACAACAGTCCCTAAAATTTTAGTGCCTACAGCATCTCACTATGCCGATGTTAATTTTTTCTTTTGTATTTTTTTTAAAGGAAAATTATGACCCTGAACCTTGCGCTAGAATGTTCTTTGTTGCTGACTAGCCGCAGTGGATAACAATCTCATATTTCCTTATATTTTTTCATTTTCATGATATACGAGTAAATTTCTTAACTTCTGTGTCTCTCATGGTGTGCTGGACACCAAAACCAGGGGCGGAGGGGTGTGGGGGCAATGTAGCACTATATAATTAAAATCATAAAAAAATTATATTTATAATATGTTTTCTTATAATATGTCTTAATATAGATTATTAAGATCATGTCTATCATGATGACACTCTCACCTAGTGGTTGACTTTTATAGCCTTGCAGTTCAATGGTTAAAGTGCGCAAGCTTAGTGAAGGCGCTCTCGTCACAACTTTTTCCTGTTCTTAATATAACCTAGGTTAAAGTGCGCAAGCTTAGTGAAGGCGCTCTCGTCACAACTTTTTCCTATTCTTAATATAACCTAAATAGTGAGGAACGTACAGCCTAAAAATATTAGGAAAAAACAACTTATATAAATAAGATGAAGAAACTAATACAAAGAAGTTGCAAACCGATAAATGAGACCATTGAGTGGCGACCATCTTTTTTTTTTTTTTTTTCTCGAACATATAGATTAGATATATTTTTTGAATGTAGCATTAATATGTTGTAGCAAGCACTACCTTTCTGATGGAATTACATAATCTTTCACTAAATTTGAATTTTCGAATGTTCAATAATTGTTATTAAAAGGAACCTATAAAAAAAATATTAAAAAACATTTGGGGGGACCATGGCCCCTGCTAGCCCGCTTTTGGCTCCACCCTTGCGACCAAACTTTTTCCTTCTATCTATAACTTGTGGAATATGGAGGATTCCTTTTAGGACTAAGTAGGTGATCAGAGTTTGAGATTTTCTTTCTGAAACTATTTGAATCTCTTTAAAAAATTCAAAGAATTTGGATGACCAATAATTCTCTACCCAGCTGGAGTTACATCGGAAAGGGATGTAGGGCTTTGAATTATACACAAAGTTCCACCTCTCTGATTCTACATGAAATTTGGCTATCATATTCAGTGTCCTGACTCTGCCAGTTGATATCTTTTTTGTAATAAGTACCTTTGGTAGAGAGGAGAGACTATCCAATTTTCAATGAAATGCTTCCATTTTTTTTGTTGAATAACCTAACATGCTGAGATAACCGTTTGTTAGATTAATAAACCTATAAAGGAACTAATTTCATAGTATTTTTGGAGTCTCCATGTCAAATATACTTACTTCTCTCATATACATCTCAAAATAAATAAATATTATCCTTGCAATCATGGTGCAATTTTTAACTCCATCCATTGCAAAAAAAATTCCTCTTTCCTTGGTTGAATGTTTCAAATTTTAACTTTCCCAAATTGTGCTTGGATTTTGAAAACTTATTCAAATGGAGTAATTGTATATGTTTAAATCTTGTTGTGTTAGTTTTGTAACATTCAAGGGAACAATGCATTAAATGCCTGTCCTGTTAAAAAGTTCAGATGCTTTTACTTTCTTATTTTTACTTTCGAAGAAAGTAAAATCATGATTTTGATTTTTTAAACTGAAATAAAAAGTAGAATCGTGTTCAATAATTTTTTCTACTTTCAATATTTTGAAAGCAAAAAAATAAGAAGTTTAGTAATTTTAAATTTTAATTTTATTTTTGATGGTCATTTTTCTCTCTCAAAAAAACGCTCTCTGTGGCTTACCTTCCATGGCCGCTTTATAATTTGCCACAAAGAGAAATTGGTGAAGTGGGTTGAAGGGATTGATGGTGGGCTTGTGAGAAAAGGTGAGCTGGAGTGGGTTGAAGGGATTGAAGGTGGCCTTGTGAGAAAAGGTGAGATGGATTTGGGTAGGAAAGAAGTCGTAGACATTTTTTCAAGTATATGGTATATACATATCTATCAATCTGGTCCCATTGTTGTTGGTGTTACTACTGGTTATCGACTAAAGGGGCGGTGGCGGCCAGGGACGGAGCCAGAAAAAAATTTCAAGGGGGGCACATTATAGTACTATATACCATATCATATATTTATAATATAATGTACATGTATATAAGTCAATATTTATGAGTATGTATATATATATAGAAAGAGATAATGATATTTTTGGAATGAAATTAATTTATAAATATAGAATATAAGGATTAAGGAAACAATTTAGGATAAAAAAATGTGAAACATATATAGAATTCTACGGAGAATGAGAAAATTGAGGGGGGGCACTTTCCATATTTTCATTAAAAAAACATATATATTATTATAAAATATATATAGAATATAAGAGAGGGAGAAAATCCAGGGGGGGGGGGGGGGGCACGTGCCCCTCCTGGTCCTTAATTGGCTCCGTCCCTGGTGGTAGCAGTTGTGCGATAGGGATGGTGGTGGCCGGATTTGCAGCAACGATGACGAATGCGGCAGTGAGGGTTTGTGCTTTCGATTTTTTATTTTCTGTGACTGGTACAGTTCAAGTTGATTTGCTGATTTGGTATATTGTTGATGGGTTTTTGAAGAATCTTTGTGTATGAGAGAGGAGGGAGATGGTTGTGAGCAGTGGCAATGGTGGGAGGAGGTGGGGAGGAGGCGATGACCATAGTGGGAGGAGGCGGCAGCCTGGGTGGAGGTGATACAATAATTTTGGGAATTTTGTTTTATAGGATAAACAGTGCTACAGTAAAGCTACAGTAGGAAAAAGTAATTCTTATACACAGTGGAGAAATCACAGAAAGCATCATTTTCTTACTTTCTCTTTCCTTCATTAAATCTGAAAGTACTTTCTAAAAGGTGAAAAGTAAAATTACATTAATAAACATAATTTTTACTTTTACTTCATATTTTAAAGAATTGATAGTAAAAATCAGAAAGTAAAAGTGTTAGGGCCCGTTTACTACGCTTTCACTTTCTTACTTTTACTTTCTTTAAAAGTAAAATCATAATTTTCATTTCTAAAGTTGAAATATGAAGTAGAATCATGTTCACTAAATTTTCATACTTTCAATATTTTCAAAGCAAGAAATTAGAAAGCAAGTTCATTAATTATAATTTTGATTTTGTATGTACAAAATTTCGTCAATCTTCTCTCTCATTTCTGCGACTCACCAGAATTGAACCCAAATTCACTATCAGTATGGCCCCTGCCCACCACCATCCAAAACCTTCATTACCAACACCTAAACCAATTTGCACCAAACAAATCACAGAGACACTGCAACCCTAAAAAATAAAAAAAAAATTCAGTAGTAGAGAGCTACCGTCGCTGACCGCCAAATGCAAACACCACCACCTCTATCCAAAACCTCCATCACCACCACCCATCACCGCCTACTGTAAAACTCAAACCATCGACACCCTAGCCGCCACTACAATCTAATCACAGAGAACCCAAGTCCCAATCCAAGGAACAAAAACCAAACCCACCACCGGAATTATGTAGTCACAACATCTCCGTCCTCGAAATTGTTGGTTGTTGTCACCAGAATTGTCAATCCTTCGTCGCCGGAATCTGTATAACTTTGGTCATTGGAGCCTGAAATCACCATATTCATAAATTAAACCAATGAAAAATAGGTCTTTGTGTTGATTTTAAACAGAGAGAAAAGAGGGGTGGGTGATGGGGTAGAGAGAGATAGGAGAAGGGGTGAAAATTGATGGTTGTGGCAGTGGTTGCAGTTGGCTAGGGCTTGAGGATGAGGAGCAAAAGAGGGAAAGAGCAGAAGAGGGGTTTTGATGGGTTGGTTGCGGTCGGCTAGGGCTTGAGGATGAGGAGTAGAATAGGGAAGGAGTAGAAGAGTGGTTTTGATGGGCTGCGACGAGTGTTTTTTTTTTTTTTTGGTGATAAATGATGCTACAGTAGAGAAAGTAATTTCAGTGAACAGTGTAGAAAATAGAGAAAGTAAGGATTTCTCACTTTCTCTTTCTCTTCACAAAATTAGAAAGTACTTTCTTAAAATTAAAAAGTAAAAGTATTTTATTAAACATAATTTTTACTTTTGATTCTCAATTTTAGGAATTGATAGTAGAAATCAGGAATTATTCCTGTTACTAAACAGGTAGTAAACGGGCCCTAAGTGGGACACTTATTTTGGGATAGAGTGTTTATGAAGTATTGAGCAAGGAATCTCCTTGGTATATCCATACTTTCATGATCACATGAATCCCATAAATGTTTTTCTGCAGCGTTTGGTTTGCATTTCATTTTATGTTTTATGTTGAGGAGTGTATATTACGATGCCAGTGATCACATTTAATTGTGTAAACGGGCCCTAACTGGGACACTTATTTTGGGATAGAGTGTTTATGAAGTATTGAGCAAGGAATCGCCTTGGTATATCCATACTTTCATGATCACATGAATCCCATAAATGTTTTTCTGCAGCGTTTGGTTTGCATTTCATTTTATGTTTTATGTTGAGGAGTGTATATTATGATGCCAGTGATCACATTTAATTGTGTAATTTTTCAGAAGTTATATTCTAGTATATATAATACAATAATGCTAAAGAGGTATAAACCTGCGGCACTTTCATCAAGCCGATGCATCCCCCCTCTCTATCCCTTTTCTTCCTCTATTTTCTCCTTTTGCATTAAATGGAACATCCATACAACTGTGTTCTTATACCATTTTTTACAGTATCGTGACATAGTACGGCAGTTTATCAAGGGTACAGATGGATTTGCTGGGGCTTTTGCTGAATGCATTTGTGGCAGCCCCAATTTATACCAGGTACTTCTTGTTTGTACACTTGGTTTTTAAACTTGTCTTTCTAGTTGTTGGTAACAAGATTGTTTATAACTTTATATTCTAACTCTCTAGTGTTTATATTTAACTTAAAATACCATCTTTTAGTGTCTTTGTTTTTCTTCCACTTTTATGTAAATCTCAAAAACTATGTACATTTTATTTTCATGTTTAATTTGGATGTGATATCCACACTCCACTTGAGTTTTCAATAAATGAAATGACAAAATCACCCCTCAAAAATGGAGTGCATGAGTACTTTTTGGAGTTATCGTGGAGAGTGAGTGTTTTTGAGGGGTAATTATGTCCTATTTTTATTTTTTTTTTGAAAAAAAACAAGTGGGGTACAAGTGGGGAAAAGGTGGAGCTTGAATATCATTTACCTTAGTTTCTTCTTGTTCTTTTTTAAATTTGGATCCTTTTAATGAATCAGGAAGGTGGAAGGAAACCATGGAACAGTATCAATTTTGTGTGTGCACATGATGGTTTTACTTTGGCTGATCTAGTGACATATAATAACAAACATAACTTAGCAAATGGGGAAGACAACAATGACGGAGAGAATCATAACAATAGCTGGAACTGTGGAGAGGTAAATTTCAATAAAAAAGTGTTATCAAATCTATGCACTGCATTTGGTTCCTTTTCAATTCTTACTGTTACTGTATGGTGATTTTTCTTTTTTTGGTAAGGTACTGTAGTATGAATAGTCATTATTTCCTCTACTTGTCAAAAAAAAAAAATGAATAGTCATTATTTTCTCAAATACTTGGAAATTTGAGTCTCCCCTTGTAGTATTATAACATGAAGGAAATTTTTTTCTTTCTGACACATTTATTAAATGATTTACTTAGGAGGGGGAGTTTGCAAGCATTTCCGTGAAGAACTTGAGGAAACGACAAATGCAAAATTTTGTTCTTTGCCTCATGGTTTCACAAGTAAGATTTAATTTATATTTACTCTTTCCACTTTTTTCCTCATTGCAATGACTTATGTGCATCCTGTGAAACACGTTTAACTGCTTCATTCCTTTCATATATTTAAAAATGAATGGTGAGACCATCAGGGCTTCTTTAATTTGTTGAACTTTTTGCTAATATGCGCTCTCGAAGCGATAAGAATCTGTTTGAGTCATAGACCAGTCTTCTGACCTTCACAGAAGTTTGGTATCAACAATTTTCAGGAAAGAAAAGATGTAATATGAATCGGCTACTGTGGATGTGTTTAGAGGTCCCGTAGATTTTGAATGGTGATGGTCTCTCATGTGAAAATTTCACTTAGAGAATGGAGCCCTTAATGAAAAGAGGGCTTGATCTATAACGCTCCATTCAAGATGATACATATCTACATCAAAAGGTATGTGTGATGATGCAATTATTTGCATTCAAGGGGTTTAGGGTGAGTATTGTGGATTCGTGTCTGACTGGTGACTGATGGTGACCTTCAATGACTACTTATATTGTTTACTTTCTTGAACTCTTTTTTTTTCCCCCATTTATTCAATGAATGAAGTTTAAATCATATTAAGGACACATGAAAACCAAAACAGTTGTCAATAAAAAGGCAAGAGAAGACAACAATTATAGAACTGAAACAAGTGTATCTACGTAGAATTATTCCATTGCCCGTTATCTGTACTGTGGCAGGGGCAAATCAAATTGAAGGGCCTTTGACATCTCATTAAGAAATGCGGGCTTTGAGTCACTATTTATCAATGATTTCTAGTATGTTTCTACTAATCTTAACGAACGTAATAAGAAAGGAAGTTAAAGGTGTATAGAAACTTGACTGATGCTATGCAACCACTGATTCTAATAAATTTTTACCTACTGAATCTGTTAGTGTGTTGAGCTTATGAAATTTGCCCTTGTTGTATGGAAATAAGTATATTCTGTTTCCAAGTAACTTTTATAATTTTCCAAATGATGCCTGTAATGAGAAATGAGATGCTATGCCTAAGTTATAATGGAGGAGGAAAAAATGGAGCTATTTCAGGACCTTTAAAAGTATTTTTTATTTGATATGAGCTTTTAAAGTTAGACATTATCTATTTGGTTATTTGGTATGAGCTTTTAAAGTCAGACCTTGCCAATCTGATAATTTAGAATCAAAATCTCGTGGTTATAGTGATTTCATTTAATTTTCATAATAAACTTAATATACCTTGTACTTGGTTATTTGAGGAGTCACTTTCCCCGCTGCATGTTATATTGCTTTTCTGACTGTGATCTTTATCTCACCAGGGCGTCCCCATGATCCATATGGGTGATGAATATGGTCACACAAAAGGAGGGAACAACAATTCCTATTGCCACGATAATTATGTGATTCTCCTACCCAAAACATTCTTCTGCATTTCTATCACCAGAGAGCTATTTAAGGTTTCTGTTGACTGACTGCAGCTTTGGCTGCAGATCAACTACTTCCGATGGGATAAGAAGGAAGAATCCTCATCTGACTTCTTCAGATTTTGCTGCCTTATTACCAATTTCCGCCAGTAAGTGCTTCCTTCTTAGTGTTTTCTTGTGTTCATCCTTGTGTCTTTGCTTTCCGATAGAACTTTGGCAGCTCTCTCATTTAGTTTGAGATGTTTTCAGTGAATGTGAGTCACTTGGATTAGATGACTTCCCTACAGCAGAGAGGTTGCAGTGGCATGGTCATGCCCCTGGGATGCCAGACTGGTCCAAAACAAGCCGATTTGTGGCATTTACATTGGTATACTATTTCGTTGCATCTTGCACTGCATACTCATATATAAGCATTTTTATTAACATTAGCTTTGCTACTGTATAAACTTTACTATTATGCAAAAGTGGCTCAAACGGTCATGTTTTGATTTGATTTAGCTATTGCTATCGAAATTAATGAAAATGTGAAAGTGAACCTGGAACTGGACATGGACATTTTCGCATGGCAAATCATAAAAGAGTCAAATGGACACAGCAAGTCAACAACAAAGAAATATGTTTTTATATATATAATATAATGTATTTGTTCTAGGCTCCAATGCATGAATCTGACTTAGAAAGAGACCTTCTTTCCACAGACGTTGGAATACCTTTCCCTCAATCTTAACTTGGCTCAGGTCAAAATAGGGAAGGAGCAGAATCGGACCCCTTTATGGGTATTATAGAATATAATATAGTTGATAAACATTACTTCACAATGAGTAAATCTAATATTCTATGGCTATTACATGCAAACTTATGAATCATAACAATGAAAAATCACTCAGTGCGCATAGAGAAAAACACAGAAAGGACATGATTAAACACAAGGATTTATATAGTATATGCATTTGTAAATACAGTGTATGGGGATATGCACACATAATCTTGACGATTCCTCTTCTCACTCGCTAATTTGATGAAGTCTTCCTCTGTTATACTTTTGGTTTTTGGATATGGTCAAACTTGTATAAATCTGTTGTAAACCTATAAGTTTTTTTTATTTTTTTTTAATTATAATTTTTTCCATGTTAAAATAAATTCACAAGTACCATCTAACGCTCATTGTGCCATATGTTGGTGACTGTTTGGAAAGTGTAGACCACTCGTTGTAAATTAAGAATCCTATTTTTGAGCTGTGAGTGTGTCCAAGAGGTGTCACACAGATGTCGGAAAAGTGTTGGAAAATTTTCAGTGAGCGACATGGATACGGCTCCTTCTTAGAAATGTTCATGCTGCTTAGGTTGCGAGCACTCTTTTCAAGTGTGTTATTAAAGGTAACATGATGCAGTTTGGTTTTTCCTCCTCCTTCTCTGAAACAACAAATATAATTTTTCACAAGTTAAGACTATGCTTTGGTAGTCAAACTTTTATGTAAAGTATTTGCAAAATGTTCAGAAAGTAAAGGTCTCAATGGGAAATGTATTAATCTTTTCAAATGATTTGTGAACTTCCTCTAATGGTTTTCAGATTATTGGCTTCTTTCGCATCTTGCCATCATTTCTTACCATGTTTTTTTCTTTTGGTTGATCATGTAGTTTGTTCTCTATTGCAAATAATTATAATAATTTTTTTTTTATATGCTTCTTTAATGACTTCTTGCTATTACCAATAATATGGATGGCTCACTTTCTCTCAGAGATGCTATGGTCTCTCTCTCTCTCTCTATATATATATAAAGTTATCAAATTTTATAGAGGCATTTTCAATTTTTAATCAATTGCCAAGTCTTACATACATGTATCTATATTTTAACACATTTAACACACACACACAAATATGGCATTAGGAGCAAGTAAATCTAGGGTTTGGGTTGTGAAACAATGGATGAAGATACCCGTTATCAATCCTAAAAAGGTTTTCTGTGTTTAATAGCTATCTTGCCTTATTTCTTTTACTTCGTACATTATGTTCAAATGATTCTGGTATCAAACCAAAATGCAGAAGGACTCAGTGAAGGGAGAACTGTATGTTGCCTTCAACACTAGTCATTTACCTGTCACCATTACATTGCCACAACGGCCTGGCTACAGGTGGGAGCCTTTGGTGGACACCAGCAAACTTGCACCATTCGACTTCCTCTCTGAAAACATTCCAGAAAGAGAGACAGCAATAAAACAGTATTCACACTTTCTTGATGCCAACCTATACCCTATGCTTAGTTATTCTTCTGTTATTTTATTACTCTCACCAGGTGATACTGCTTAGCTTAAATCCAGTAGCCCCAGGATTAAGTTGCTTCAATTGATGAAACTTTTCGATATCATGCACAAATATCCAGATCACATAACTGTGTACGGAGAAGTGGCCAGATGGATAGTTGTGAAAGAGTCTGTGGAACAAGAAGGCAAATGATGTAATTAGTGGAATCCATTATTGAGGAGGGGAAGGATAGATTACATTGACTGGAAATCTATATCATGATGGTGGAATTACGATTTATCTGCAGCTATATTAACTTTTAAGTTCTACTGTAAATACTTGCCAATGGTTTGATTCAATGAAGTATTTTTTATTTTTTGAACTCATGTTCTATAGTTTCAACAATTCAATCAATAACTTCTTTAGCTCTTGTTCTGGTAGAAAAGATGCACTTAATTTATTAATCATCCCTGCGCCTGTCATGTTTATTATTACTGGAAATGATGGTTTGGAGCCACAGAACATCCATATTTTTCCAATAGATGTAAACAGATTAAGTTGTATCCATACGGAATCTCCTCTCGAAGTGCCAGAATAATTTGACAGGTAATTCTTCACTCCAGGTTATCACCCGGACCTCTATGGATTGACGACTAACTCTTTCAGGGTTGTAAAGCTACTTTGAGGTTGCCAGGTTTGTCAAACTATGATCTTTCATTCAATTCAGTGGATTGATTGTGTGGCGAAATATCGTTGCTTTTGTTGTGAATCTGAAAGCCTGGACAAATAATCTGGGTGGAGCTAGCTCCTTACTCAATGGCTGCTATGGCATTCCTCTGTGCTGGAAAATTGTCTAGGTTGGGAAGGAATTTATCAAACCTAGCAAACTCACAGATTGACCCCAGTGAACTGGTGGAGAGTTAGTTTGCCTTGATATTAACCAAAAATTATTTCGGATGATGTCTTGTCCTTTATTTGATTGAGCGAATGAACTCCAAATCAATGTCTTTCAGTTTCTCTATCAGCAATATATATATATATATATATATATATATATATATATATATATATATATTAGTGACTTCTTATTGAGATCCTGAATTCTAGGAGCATGGCATTGGAAATGATCATCTTGTCATCTTATTGAGTGAAGAACAAAGCTATTTGGACCGATTTTTCTAATTGATGTATGTAGCCCCTTTGGCTATCTATGTCGGTTTGAAAAATTATTTTTCTAGAGTGAATGAACTCGCTATCAATCCCTTTATTTCTATATTAGCAATATGTATAGTGCTTCTTAATGAGATTTGATTTCAAGGGCAATGACATCTGGAGATGGTACGTGGGGATTTTGAATTTGTCTCATTTGATCACCTCTAGTTTCCTTTTTATTAAATATCTGCTCCTCCATTTGTTGAAATTTGGATGCAATTGATTTAAATGGTGTAATTGCTATTCAGCCTCGTGGCCTCTTTTTGACTTTAAATTTTTCTTCTTCTTCTTTTTTTTTTTTTTTAAATAAAAAAAAAAAAAATCAATTTGCATGTGTTTTCCGAATTTGTATTTTGGTTGTGAAATAATTTGAATACGATTTTATTTGTTTTTCTTCCGAGTCCAAGACAGACACCTACCACGCCTTGACCAGTGCTACTCCCGGCCAAAATGTGCCGCCAGAAAAAAATGAAAATGGAAAAAGGGGTAATATAGAAAAGATATTTGATTAAAAATATGGTCGTTTGTCAATTAAAAACTGGCAAACTGGCCTACCTATAAATTAATATTATTGGAGTATTAAATAAATAAAAGTTAAACTCCATTGTCGGGTAGTGACTGGGCCACGGCCCACAGGAGAACAAAGGCAGTTTAGCGCTGGATGATTTTGAATTATGGAAGTTGATGAGAATTTAATTCAACGTCTCTCTTGAATGATGAATCTGACTGAAAAAATAAATCATTTTATACACAAGAATACCGTGCTAAATACATATTATACGTGCAAATTGTAAAATAGTTTATCATTAATGGTTACTACATATAATTTAATGATATTTTTTTTTGCAAGTTTAATAGTATCTTTTTCACCATCAAAAAGTGAGGATTTAAGTTCTATATAGACTAATAAATGTTGAGTCTCTGGTCTAAAAATAATAATGATAAAAATAAAAAATAATAATAATAACATTCAACAATTGTATTTGGTTGGAAATCATATAAGAATAGAAAGAGAAATAATAGCCAACTTTATGTTTTATAATCGATAAGGAAAATATTTATTTATAGGAGGTTTAACAATATAATTTGAGATCAAAGAAGTTATGGACTTAAAACTCTTAACCTTTCACATTATGAGATATTACCATTTTAAAATTTCAAGACTTCTTTTGACTCTTAATAGCATAAATAAACTTTAATTTGCTGTACAAGAAAATATATAACACCAAAGAAGAATTTTTAATATCAATAAATAATTCGCATTCAATTTGTCCTTTGTTTTTGTAAAAATTTCAACTCTGAAACCTCCGTCCATTGTTAGAGTTTCTACAAACTCAATCTTTATTATACTAGTAGGAGTTTGGAGAGTTCAAAGCAAACCCATTTTATAAAAAAATTATATAAAAATATAAAAATTACTGTAAAAGAATCTAAATAAAATCTTAAACTCTACAAAAATATTGAAGTTTCTTTCACAGTGGCGTCTATAATCTTCCTCTCCTATTGTCTAATCCGATTAAGGCTGCAATGCAGCCCTCCTTTATTAACTTTAAAAATATATACCCTCCAAAATGCATAAACAAGAAAACGCGTTATCTTTGCAAATACTCCGTAAAGTTAAATTCACACAGATACAAACAAACAAACAATACATACATACAAGAGAGCCAATGTATAATATAGATGGTCCATACATATCAAGATTCAAGAATCAATCAAGTGCTCAAAATTTTTGAACCCAAAAGCGTTAGCAATGGCTTCATCACCAACCAGAAGAGCTTCTTCACCCCCGGAGGAGACCACAGAGACGGCGGGTCCCACTCATCTGTGTCCCACACTCCCTTCCGATCTCATCTTCAACATCGTCTCAAGACTGCCGGTCAAGGTTCTCGGTAAGTTCGAAAGCGTTTCTAAACAATGGCGCTTCATGATCACTGACCCATACTTCATTCTCACACACCGTAATCGATCACTGCAAAACCCTAATTTACTTTTACTGCGAAAAGTTCCCAATGATGATGATTCTGATAATCCCCAGAAGAAGAAAACCACTGTTGAAGTATGTGGGTTGGATTCTGATGGGAAGCTCAATATTGGGTTCACACTGGATGTGAATGATGCTATTGATATGTTGCCCTCGAAATGGGATTTGATATGTTTTGCAGGTGAAAATGGGTTTTATGTTTGTAATCCAAGTACCCAAGAATTTGTGAAATTGCCTGAGGCAAGTTGTTGTACTTCTGGGGAAATTAATGCTGGGATGGGTTACATTTCGTCTAGAAATGAATATGTTTTGATTCATTTGTATGATAGGAGTTTGGATATCTATGTTGATAATGATATTGGGTGTGAAGTTATACGTTTGTCGGATGGGTGTGTGAGGAATTGTTCTTGGAAGGTAGTGGAGGCGAATTGCCCTCATGTGGTTAGAGGATGGGGAGTTTTGGTTGAGAATGTGTTTTATTGGATGATTTGGGAAGAGTATGATCATCCAGGGAATGAAGCTATCGTGTCCTTCGATTTGGAGAAAGAAGAATTTGGGACGATTTCGCCGCCAGAAGGGTGTTTAGACCCTAATGGGGTTTGGTCCTTGGTGGAGTTGAGAGGGTCTTTATGTCTGGTCGACAGTGCAACACAACCTTCTACAATGGATATATGGGTATTGAAGGATTTAGAGAATCACAAATGGGTGAAGGAGTTTAGGATTGATTGGAATGGGTTTAGTGAGGAGTTGCTGAAATTCATCACCCCTCTGGATTATCAGAATGGAGAAATATTGATGGATGCGAAACAAGAGAGTCTTCACTATTACAATGTAGAGAACAAATGCTTCAAAAGAATGGACAACCTGGTTGCAGGTGGGTGGACGTGGCTACGACTTTATACCGAGAGCTTCTTCTCCCTTGGAAGTCGATAGATATGATATATACATTTTCATGAAGGTCATTAGTTGCTCTTTTATGCAGCTCTCCTATAAATACTTTGTTTGGTTAGCAATTTATTTTGCTGTCAATAGCAAGATTAGAGTTGCAATGCTAACCATTTTCAGGTTATAATCCTAAAGAACTGTCAAAGGACCACTCTTTTTTTTTTTTTTTTTAAGTTTTTGGTTCAATCTCCATTTTTTTTGGTTGAACTAAGAGAATGAATCTTAGTTTTGAAAGTGTCTTTGTATTTGGATTGAATAAGAGTTATTTCTCTTATTTTTTCCATTATATGTTTCATCTAGTTCTTTTGTGTTTCATTTCGTTCTTACTTTTATGTTTATGAGAAGTTCTATATAATGATGAATGAGATGATTTTTTATTGGGTGATACTAAACATTGCAGTCTCTTTTGTGACACTATTTTAAAATCCTTTGCTTGGTTAAGCCACAATGTTGGATTGGCTTTTAGCTTTAGAAAGGTGAAAATAGCATTCCTTTCAGAATTCAGATGGTGAGAAAACATTGCATATTTTAAATTATACTGTTAAAGGCCATTGGACATAATTCCCAGTCACATGGAATTAAAATCAGCTTGTTTGACAATGTTATTAGTTGAGGCCTTCGTATTCAGCCGGAAATATTTTTTATAGTAACAAAATAGAGTCTATCACAAGTGTCAATTCCATGGTGATGCATATACATTGGTTTACCTTTTTAACTCAACGTACATGCAATTGAAGGCTCAAATATTTGGTGCTTACTGATTTCTGTCAGGTTACAGTTGTTAGTGAAGTTGTTCATTTAATCCCATTTTCAAGAGGAACCTTCTGTCCTATTTAGAGGAAGAATTTCACTCTTGTTTAGTGCTTTCTAGACTGCTCCTTCTTATCTTTCCTCCCATCTAGTATCAGTTGTGGATTTTCACTTACTATATGCACAAAATATCTCCATTTTTACAGTAGTTGAAAATTGGGTATTTCTTGTACCAAATGAGTAGATTTTTGCCTATCTGACAGGACATTTTCTAAATTTCTGCAGTCCTAAAAACATCTTACTGTGCTTTTTTTAGACTTTTGAGGAGATTTCTTGCTAGTATAGGAGTGGTTTGCAAAGGAACTTGCCAGCAAAATCTGAAAACAGTTGACACTTTTTCTTTCTTCTGTTTGGTAACAAGTAAAACTGTTAGAAACTTGTGAGTTTTTGAATGTTTATACAAGGTGTTCTGTGTAAGGTTATAGTGCTCTACTTGAATAGTGTTTGCGACACTTGGTATCTTTTGGATAATGCAGCTGTAAGTATTATTTAAGACATGAAAATTGCTCTTAGGTAAATTTGAATTTCTTATATGTGGTTCATCATTATCTAGTATGTTCTTTTCGAGAATTGGCATTGTGATTATCTATTAGGGCTTTATTATTGTTTGAATTTTTATACAAATTATGTTATCAAAATATTTGAATATTTGTGTATGAAATGTGATTGGGTTTATTATATTTTAACATTTAAGGTTTTAATTTAAGTGGTGTCTCCTTCTCCTTCCACATAGGAGATTGAGGGTTCAAGTTCCCATGGGCAATAGTGGTCTGTATGTGAGAAGAAGTTAATGGCCTTGTTGCTAAATGTGCTAGACCAAAACTTATCTGGTTCAATCTGTATGGCAAATCAACCTAGGGATTCAAAACTGGTATTTTAATGTCAATTTCAATTTTGATTGTGCTTATTGTCTTTTCTCTTATTGTTGGGGAATTGGAAACAGGCTCAAAAGCATAAATTCATCCTATCTGCATCTTGTGTGGAGATTCATAGTGGAAAACACAAAGAACCCTTCATGTATTAACAGACAAAGTCTTTCTTTCACTTTCATTGTCTAAAGAATGGATTTTTGTGTGTCCTCCTGTAATGGTGAAAGTTGCAACTTCTTGATGTATGAATCACAGCTTGTGTCTTGAATCTTGTAGGAATGCTCTTCTGGTGTAATTTTTATGATCGTTGTCGTAGCCTTCGAATCAGTCGCTGTACCTTAGAGGTTGGATTCCTACATATATATGCTAGTGCCTTTTTCTTTTTTGGGGGTTTGGGTGGGTTCAATGTCACTGTATGTGACTTTAGTGCTCCATCGGGCAGTTGGTTAGTCTCTATTGCCTTATGTACCATGATTTAGAATGCTGTCATCATCTGAAGCTTGCTAAAAAAATTCCATATGTGTCTGTCAGACGGCCTTTCTGTGTGTGTGAATGCAGGCGTTTTAATAAGGAAGAGCTGTTCAAAAGCTTCTGTCGATGTGGACTTCAATCGAACAGGATAAACTTGGTCATCATTCTGTAGAGGTCTAGGCTCTTAAATTCTTAATTTATGATTGTAAGTTTTTCTTTTGGTCCTATTAGATGCGTAAGTCTTGTTGGTGTGACATCAGACCTTCTATTGGCATTATGTCTCAAAGTGTTATTTGTATTTAAGAATTTCAAAAGTTCGTTTTGATTTGTGTATGCTGGGGGCCTTTGCATTCACATAACATTTTTCTCTTGCGAACTTCCTCAAGTGCAATAATGTGGCTTATGGTCATTATTGTAGATGTTTGATGAATAATATAATAGATTTTTTTTTGATGACGTGGAACCCTCGCAGCAAGTTAAGTCGAAGGTAATAATGGAGGTGGCAAGGCTCGAACCTTGGACCTATGGGTGTCCAGGCTAATACCTTACCAACTCAACCAAGCCTCCCGAGCACTCTAATATAATAGATGCTAACAAATAAGTATATGTTTTTTGTCTGAACTCTTTAAGAAGTTCACCATGTTGAATAGCTTGGTTACCATTTGACATTGTTAATCCGTTGAAGTGTAAAATTTTGCTGCATTTTTGCATTGCCTTGAAAGAACGTTTCTTCGTCTTCTCGTTATTGTTCTTTTACAGTTAATTATTCTTGTCAAATTTGTATAATGAAAGAAAAGTGGCATCTATGAGCCTCGCTGTATTAAAAATTTTACTCCTGAGAAGGAGGAAGTTAGTGTTGGAAAACAAGGCGTGCAGTAATTGGGTAATGATATGCTAGTATTATTTTGTTCATTTTAGACTGATAATTTATATGGAAATCATTTAATTTTCTGTCATCATGATCCATCAACATTATGCAGTTCTAATACTAACTGATTCTGAATCATGGTGTTGGTTTAACAACAATTTTTCTTCATATGTAGAGATGGACCTTCTCTACATGTGCCTTAGGTTATGGGAAACCAGAAGTTCGCCGTGTTTACAGTGCTTGAGTTTGTGTAATCGGTGACTATAGTTGACTTCTCTCTGGGCAGCCATGGATAGTTTTTGCTTTACCACTATATCAGAAGCTGTGATGAAAATTTTGCCATTCTTTTCTTTTTGTTACCTGTTTTGCAGCAGATTCTTTGTGCTGTTTTGGGGAATTATAGAAGTTAAAGCATCTTTAATGACCTGTGCTTGAAAATGGAAGTAGGATATGTTTTACAATTTTTGCAAAGTTGTGTTCAAGAACATGGCAATTTTCTACTGATTGAGTTGGAAACTGTTTTCTACATACTATGGGAATTGGAGTGTCCTCAATTAAATGGGTAATCAAAATTTTGCTAATTTCGAGGAATTTGGAATGCCAGGATTGCACTCCCATGTAATCAAACAAGACCTAAATGATAGTATTACTTACCAGAAAAGAAAAAGAAAAGAGAGAGATCTATATGATCTTATTGTCAACAATGGTGGTGTTGTGTCAACAATGGTGGTGTTGTGGGTCACTTAGAGTACTTAATAATTAATCATTGGACATATATAGTCCTATTGTTTTATATGCATGGGACAATTATAGAAAAAAATTCTACGTGACTTCAAGGAGATTCAAACTTTCAAATTTTCAAACTCTAAGCACATTTTATAATATATTGCAACTTGACTACTCTAAAATTCTCCCAATTACTTTTTCTTTCTTTATAACCTATAATGAAATTTTCGTTTGAATTTTTTTTTTTTTTTTTTTTTTTTTTTTTTTTTTTCAAGACAAGGCAATGTTGGTGAATGAAGTATGAAATGTTATGAAGTGCTATATAAACTATGCCTTGCGTAAAAAAAATTATATTCACTGGTTGGAAAAAAAATCGTTAAGATTTCGTGGTCGTTAAAATTACAATGCAGCACTTATTGATAATTATATATGTGAAAGAAAAAAAGAAAGAGATTTTTAATGGCTACCAAGAGACTTTTTTAGCCTACCCAATTGTCCGTGTCCATTGAAATTAATTCTATGAGTACAACAAAAAAAATAAAAAGATATATAATTAATAATAGAGTCAATATATTTCTTTTCGGAGTAATTATAGTCATGGTCAAAAATCAATGGTCTTTATTAATCACTAATTTATACCAAATAAAAAAATAAATATACCGTAAATATAAAATGATTTATAAATAACTTTTGATACAAATAATACAATGTGTATATATCCCTGAGTCTCTTACAAAGTTATTTATTAAAATTATTATTTCTTTAATTTTTTTAAAAAGACAAAAAAAAATTTATGCAATATAAATTTATTAAGACCTATTATCGTATTTAATAAAAAAATAAATTTGGTAAATTATCATATTTTCTTCTAATTTTAATGTTATGTAACCTATGAAATGATACTTTTTGATATATATATATATTGTTTTAAAAAATTCGCATTAACAAAAATACATATTAGAAAATTAAATTTTATTTCTTTTATTTTTGTATATTAATTTTTGGACCGATAAATCTTTTCTATTTTTTTAATGGAGCGCTTGAGGTCCCACTTGTCTTTTGCTAGGGTTTACTTCTTTCGAACGCCAAAACGAGTTCGTGCCATTGAAGAGGGAAAGAAGAGAAGAGGGCTCTAAAAGACTTTTCAACAATCCAAAAAGATCGCATTCCTTAGCTCCTTTTCATTTCCTCACAATCATCACACTGTATCAGGTTCATTTCTTCGATTAGGGTTTGTGTTCTACCGGTTTCTTGTTTATCTTTGGATGGATTGATTGATAAATGATGAGTATTGTGTTAGGGTTTGTTTCGACTTTAATACCCATTACCAAAACGTTTTCATTTTTCATCGTTATCAATTTTCGACTGTATATATTTGCTAGCAGTAAATTTGACATACTTGCATGTGAATTTATGCATATTGTGCAGGTAAGCCTTACTGATGGCGAAGGATGACTTGAATACGAAAGTTCCTGTTGAAGAAGAAAAAGGAACTTCTAATCTTGCTGATGGAAATGAAGAAGCTAGTGACCCTTCTACATTGCAAGAAGAAGTTGAGGGGAAAGTTGATGGTCTAGCATTAGATGAGCCATCAGGTTATTATATCATAAATGTGTAATTGCATGTTATCATCATCAAACTCATCATCCTTGTCTTTATCCTGTACAAACAGGTTGGACACTTGTAATTGCACGTGATCCAATCTATAATTTTTATTTTTCTTGGGGATGAATAATATATATATTTTTATGGCTAGCGAGGTGTCAAAATACATTCAAAATGATATTTCATATGATCCAAAACATGATGCTATTCGAGTAATTGGCAAACTCAATTCAAATGTTATGCAAGTTTGAATAAATTTGATTCCAAGTTGGTAAAAATAAAATGAATTTGGTTCAATATTATATACTTTTCTTGCTGTGATTTGCTCCGCATAGGGCCAAGGAACTATAACATGCTTGCACACGATTTCCTTGTCTTTTTTTTTTTTTAATAATTTGGATGGGGTGAAAAGCTTGGAGGTCAGTAGTAATAGTGAGGAGGAGAAGGTCTGGTTTGCAAAGCCACTCACTTGGGGATGGGAGATGAGTTTCTAGATGGTCCAAAAGAATGTGGGAGGAGATAAGCCCCTAGCCCTGATGGGATGACTATGGTTTTCATTTATGCTCCGTTTGGTTGGAGGGATAGAAAAATGGATGGAGGGGGGGGGGGGGGGGGGGGGGGGGTGTGGTGAGGCATCCTTAGGGAAGGGAAGGTGTCTCCCTTACTTTTTGTTTGGTTGAATGGAAAGGATAGTAGAAAGGATGGATGGGTTGACAATTTTTTTTTTTTTGTTGGAAGGAAGGAAAGGAGAGTTTTTTTTTTTTTACCAATATACCCTTATTATATGTGTGAGAGAATTTTAGTAGGGTTTAACAAGTGATTTTGTAATTAATTAAAGGTTAAAATTGGTATTTCATATTTGTAGTGTAGCTTTTCTTTCTTTCCCTCCTTATTATATGTGTGAGTGAATTTCAGTATGGGTTAGGAGGGATGCTTCATCCCTCCTTGCTTCCTCCCATCTTTCCCTTCCTTCCAACCAAACAATGGAAGCTTCCTCTATCCCTCTTCTTTTCCATTCTTCCTCATTCCTTCCTTCCAACCAAACATAGCATTAATATTGTTAGTGTGCGATTCAGGAGGAAGTGGTGGATGTGTTGGCAGCATACTTTTAGGCCACAATGCGGTCATGGTGTGACAGAAGCATTGTGTAACATTATTAGGTGACAATCTCAGAAACCGCTTTGTAAAAATTTATTGATCTTGCATGCCATCAGATATTGTCTCATGTGATTCTAATTCTCACCGGTATATCAATGAAGATTGGACTTGGTCTCAGCCAAGTCCATTACAACTCAGCCATCGTGTGAAGATGTGTCCGAGTCTCATAATCAAGGTGTGTAGAACTATGAGAATGGGGACTTTGAGGAGAGAGATTTTTTTTCTTGATAAGTAATCACTAGCTTTGCTTCTTAAACTGGTGGATAAAGGTGATATTTATGTTCTAACTCATAAAATGCCATTATGGGAGGGTAACATATTTTGTATGAGTTGTTGGTACAAATGAGAGCATGAACTCTAGATCGGGAGTAGCAAGGAATCAGGTGTGGTTTTAAAATTGGATAGGGGATGCCTCTGACCTTGTGGGTTGGAGTTTCTTGCTTTATATCATGGAGAGGATAACTTTGTTAGTGTATGGTCGAAGCAAGTTAGTATATTCTATGTTGAAATTCTCCATTTTGACGTTGTTCTTTTCAAGGTTCTTTGTGAGTTCAATTAGGCTTGCTGCAAGGGGGATCTATCACCCTCCAATTTGTTAATGATGGAAGTCTTGAGTAGAGTGTTACAATAGAGATTTTAGGCAAGTCAATATGTTATTGTTTGTAGAGAATCGATGTGTCTAATTTGTATACATGCGTTGGACGCATCCCACATCCAATGTACATGTTGTATCAATATGGGTGTATTGAGGAAAGAAGAGTGCATGTAACAACACACAGGGAACATTTCAATCTTCCTAAGAAGCTTGAAATTTCCACATTGAAGATGATGCAATTGGTCCTCCTTAACACCACAAAAAACAATGGTACAATCTGTGTACAAACATGAGAAACCTCTTGAGTCCAACCTCTCAATAACAGAAGGAAAAGCTCAAATTTTATAGCAGAGAAGGGTTTTTTATTTGTGTGACAAGTGAGAACTCATTTTTTCACCACATTCCATTTAATTTGTATTCTAATTGAGTATATCCTTAAACAACATTATCATGTTATATGACACTGTTACATAACATATGTAGGAAATGTTTATATACCCATACCCAACTTTTGGACATATTTCAGGTCAAGTCCTTTGGGCATGACCTTTTATAGTGATTTTTCTTTGGTTGGAGCCATAAATTAATTGATTGAGAGTAATATCTTTATATAGTGGTGTATTTATGAGTTACTTAAATGAGAACTATTTTTTCCCGTGTTTCTCATACATGTATTTCTATTTTTTTGGAAACTGTTTCAGAAGGTGCAAAGAAGAAGAAGAAGAAAAATAAAAGCAAGTGAGGACTATCTGTATTTTTCACACACACACACACACACACACACACACACATGTATATACATACAGATATATATTACGTTTTGGCATAAACTACAGCTGAATTATCTTGTAATGTGCAGGAAGAAAAAGGAACCGCCACGGCAAACTGATCCACCATCTATTCCAGTTGTTGAACTTTTTCCATCAGGGGATTTCCCAGAGGGAGAAATTCAACAATACAAAGATGAGTTAGTACACACTAAACTTAATGGACTATAACCACTTGCACCCTATATCAAGCATGCGTCGATCTTTTTCCTTTCTTGGAATTAATTTCAACTTGGTTTTTTCTGCTTTCTTTGTGTTTGAGTAGTTGTACAATTATACTAGCCCTTATAGTTTCATTGATTAACTAGGAGTAGTAGTGTGAAATTTATGATACTCTGTAGTTGATCATGAGAAAATCTATATGTTTTTTACTTGGCTGTCAATCACATGAATAGATATTGTCTGAATTCAACCTTTCACTAGGAGTAGTAGTGTGAAATTTTTTATACTCTGCAATTGATCATGAGAAAATATATATGTTGTTACTTGGCTGTCAAATCACATGAATTAGATATTGTCCAAATGCAACCTTTCTTTGGATGATACAATTTCATCAGAATGTTTTTTCCTAACTTCCATTGACAGTGTGCCCTAGATTTGAGCTGAATTTATGATTTGTTTTTCATATTTCTGTCTAAATGCTCCGGAGCTTCATTCCCAAATTTGATGGTTATCCTGCAGTAATTTATGGAGGACTACATCTGAGGAAAAGAGGGACTTGGAGCGCCTGGAAAAACCCATTTATAATTCAGTTCGCCAAGCCGCAGAAGTTCATCGTCAGGTTACTATTTTCTCTTATGTGTATGTGTTGTCAGTCGTGTTATATGTTGTATATGTACATTTACATATTGTGGTTAAAAGCCTGAAAGAGAAAAAAGAAAAAGAAAAAAAATAAAAGAAAAGGAAAATCTCTGTTAAGAATATGAAAACATTTCATTGTGGATTTTTGCTTCCGGTTCTTGACATATTCCTTGAGTTCTGTTTATTTGTGGTTAGGTTCGGAAATACATTAAAAGTATTTTGAAGCCTGGAATGCTGATGACTGACCTCTGTGAGACACTGGAGAATACTGTCCGTAAGTTGATATCAGAGAATGGTCTGCAAGCAGGCATTGCATTCCCCACGGGATGCTCTTTGAATTGGTAAATTTTTTTAGGTTGGCATTTGAAAATCCTTATAGGTTCCGGGTTTTTTTGTGTCCTTTACTTGTGTTTGTGTTCAAATATCTTGTCATTGCCAGGGTTGCAGCTCATTGGACCCCAAATGCTGGAGATAAGACTGTGCTTCAGTATGATGATGTTATGAAACTGGATTTTGGAACTCATATAGATGGTAACACTAGGGCAATTTGTCTCATTTCATCTCTATATTTTACTGCCTATATTTGTTGGTAGATTCTAATCTTCAACGCAATATACCTCTCTTATCTTGTTGGCTTTTTTACTTGCAGGACATATAGTTGACTGTGCGTTTACAGTGGCTTTCAATCCTATGTTTGATCCATTGCTTGAGGCCTCACGGGAAGCTACTAATATTGGTATAAAGGTAGTTAATGCTGACTTATAACCAGTTTTTAGTGATTTAATTGGTTATAAACTTATTGTGTAAAGCAGATTTGTGCTAAATTCTTTTCCTGGATTGTTTCAATACTGATGGATATGGAATGACCTTTATTTTCGTTTTGGAATATAAATTGACTGTAGATCAGTCTTTGGTGCTTGACATTGTTTTGTGAAAGTATTCAAGTATGGGCACAAATAGATGTTGATGATTCCGTTAAAGATTTTTTTGGAGCAAGACAAGTAGTAACTTATAGTAACTAGAAAGAAAGAAGGGGATGAGAATGAGAAGATAAGATAAGGCTACATGAAGGAGGTGAGAAGACAGACGAATAGGGTTGAGAATCAGATTGAAGGAGGTAGGATAGATAGACGAGGGATTAAGAACATCAAGAACAAGGGGGAGAAGAGAGACAAAGGGAGTTCACAAACTCAAAGAAAACGATAATCAATAATCTCCAAAACTAAGTTCCCAAATTACAAAGGAGCCTTTAAATAGGCAAACTATTAAGAAAACCCTAAAACATAAAAATACCAAAATAACCCTAAAATTTAAACATGATAAAAAATAACAATAAACATAAATAAAACCCTAAATCACTAAAATCCCCAATTTTATTTCTCTTTCCCTCTTCCCCAAAAATAATGTTGAAGCATGTGCAACTCATGCATTCGAGTCATATCCCGTTCCCCATCACAGGGTTTGCATATGTGAATATTATCCAATTCCAGGACTTATTTTATTTGATTCTAGAGTGAATCTTCATCTTGCATTGTGGGCTTGTAGCTACTGATGGCAATTAGGTTGAATCTTTTCAAGGTAAGGATACTCGACTATATGGATCAATCCATAACTCCTGTCAAGATTTCAATCTAACGCCACCTCTTCTTTATGGGTGGCACTGCTGAAGGTTGTATAGAATCATATACGGCAATGTTTGAGTAGACATGAAATCAGCAAATGGTCCACAATCCTACTAATCCACTGTGACACGACCCGTTAAGAAATCCATTTTAACATGTTTCAATCCAAGCTTGCAGAAGCAATAAGTAAACAAACTGATTGATCTTCATGCATTTTCACTTCATTCTTAATTTGGGATCATAATATACCATAACATGGATGAAACAACTAATAAAACATTATTTCCAAAGCAGAAATAGAGAAAGAAACACTCCTTAATAAAGCAAGGTGGTTTTGAAACCAAAAAATCCTTAAATAAAAAAAGCAAAAATAGAAAGTAAAAATTATTGCTTTTGTTTTGACAATGCAGTGGAAATGCAGCCTTGAAAGGGGGAAATCATTTCTAAACAGAGGATTAAAAGAGCTTTGATGTAGGAAATTCTGTATTGAGACACAGCAAAGAATAGTAGAGCAGAAGTAAAGAATATTGAACAGCAGCCTCCTTCAATTTGAGTGGTTATAGTCTTCAAGCTTTGGAATGTGATCTATTTTTGGTTTTTTAAATAAATCGTGCTGTTTGACTTTCGCACTAGTTTCCAAAGATGTCCCTGCTCTAATAGACGATTTTGTTAGTTAACAAAAAAGCCCCTTTTTAACGTGTAACATGGTTTTGGATCATGTTAGTGTCCACGACACAAATACTAAACGGGTCAGATTGGGTAATTCAGGTTGGACGTAATAGCCTTAGTATGACCCATAAATTATTCGTTACCAGTCTTATTAGACCTAGACCTGGTAACGGCATAAACGTGATTAAGGCCAACACAGATCTTAGACCTTCCTGTCAAGTACAACCATATTCATGGGTCTTGTCAAGAATTCCCACATCTGGTAGGTGCAGTCTGAAAGGGGTAGAGCGCTTAGCGAATTGCTAGTTGGCTGGTTAAGATTTAAGAAGCAAGTATTGAAGCAAAGAGGCTCGAAGTTTTCGGGCTAGGCTCTGTTTGTTTGGGTGTAAAATATTTTATTTTTTATTTTTTGGTGCTGGTTGTCCAAAATGTAAGTAAAATATTTACCAAGTAAAATATTTTATCAAAACCTAACGAAAGTAACTTGTGCTTTTGTCTTGGAATTTTTTTTCAGAACCTTTGCCAAACACCGAAAAAAATATATATGTATATATTTACTTGAAAAAGTTTTATATATAAAATATTTTTTGAGGAAGATATTTTACGTCAAAACTTTTTTTTTTTTTTTTGGATACGTAATAATCAATTAGAAAAGCGTTCAAAAGGGGAACGCGTCCCTAATACAAAAAACGAAAGCTGAACCTAAGGACCTATAGAATCCAAAAGATCAACTAAATCAACAGTAGAGGAGCAGGTGCCTCCTTTCACATAACAAAAAATAGAGCGAAGAATATGAAGTTTCAAGGTCGCTAAAGACAATTCCTTTCCTTCGAAAATTCTGCTATTCCTCTCTTTCCATATGCACCACCAAACATAGTGTGGAACAATCCTCCAATAATTGTGAGCGTGGCTTCTCACTGGGCATCCTCTCCGTGAGTTAATCAGTCCTTTGGAAGACTGAGGCATTACCCAATGTACGCCAGATATGCCAAAGATTATGATCCATAGGACAATACATAAGAATATGATTCACAGACTCACCGTCTCGTTTGCATAGACAACACCTATTAACGATAATGTTGCCTTTCTTTCTCATGTCCAACGTCAGATCTTACCCCAGATGGCAGTCTAAACAAAGAATGCTACTCTAAGTGGAGCCTTAGAGCGCCAAATATTCTTCCATAAGAAAATAGGACCAACAAAGTTGGAAAAACGTGGGAACATGAACCGAACACCAAATCTTCTGTGGGAGGAAGGAACCCACAAAATGCCATCACTACCTCTTCCAACTTCCTCCTGCTGATACAACATACCCAGAAAAGGCACATACCTCATCTGTCTCCCAATCCTGAAAAGGACGCCTAAAGCATACATCCCACGTAATCCCGCTACTATCAAGCCGATAACAGTTAGCTACACAAGCGTGTCTATCTTCGGCTATACTATAAAGTCTAGGAAAGGAGCAAGACAACAACTGATCTCCACACCATAAGTCCTCCCAAAAGCGGACACACCTACCATTAGAAACCTTGAATCTGATATGGGAAGAGAAGACATCCCAACCCTTCCGAATGAATCTCCATACGCCGACCCCTCCTGCAACAGAGACTGGACAGGAGACTTAATTGAAAATATGCTTAGTCCCACGATATGACTTGCCTGACCTTTATGTAAGGTCTCCAGGGATGTAGTGGACAATTGGATTACGAGGTCGGAGCCAATCATAATACAATTTCAATTGCCAACCACCAGGGCCAGCCCAGGCCTTCTGGCAGACCAGCACATGAATTTTGTAGTTAGATTCGTGAAAGAACTGCAACGTGTGTCATAGCTACGACCGCTCATCCTTGTTATAGTCCATTGAAACGAATTCTGTTACCTAACAATTCTATATGTGTCCTATGAGTCCTGTCTCTGACCTGGCAAGATTAATGTGTTTGGATGCATAAGAAAAGGAGGTTCCATCTGGATTTTGTTTGGGTGGATTTAGTACTCTTTAACATTTTATGGTCTTTGCTGTGGTCTTTGTGCCACAATGGCCATGACTGATACCATGTGGTTGAAAATGCTTAAGAGAATAACATTTTGTCCATGCATGTGTGGCCCTGCATTTGGAACAAACTTGAAAATTTTGTTATTTTGTGTCCTTTACTTAATTTAATGTTATGGGTCGCATTGGCTAGCTGGGGACTGCATAACATGCATCTGTGGTAGGGATGCCATCTTGTGGCTTGCCTTGTTGAATGTTCTCATTACTGCTCTTGTGATAAGACCGTCATTTTGTCTGGAAGCATTTTTTGTTTGCTGCTTAACAAGTGGGCCCCCCCCCCCTTTTTGCCGATTTAAATTGGTTCTCTTATGCTACCGTATTATAGATAAGTTGTCACCTTTAACGTTAGTTTATACTTGTCATTGTCTTCTTACAAACTTATACTACTTGGGTAAGGACCAATTTTTAGGCTTGTGTCAGGATATACAGCAACACAACTGACATGTCGAAGACAATACTACATTTCTTTTGGTTCTGTCAGTATCATCTATGTTGATTAATCATTAATGTGATTCTGTACCTTCTTATGGCTGGACTGTGGGAGGAAGGAGTTGTTAGTTTGGGTTCTCCAAACATATAACTATATAAGTTATATGATGGAAAGTTGACGGGGTATAACTATATCACGTGGACTCTCCAGTTGCCTTCAATATTTCTGTTTGGAAATGACAATACATGGGTATTGGTATAGATTATATGTCCAACACAAATCCAAATTAGATACATAATTCCTCAACATGCGACATGCGATTTTTGAAGAAGAATGAACTCAGATTTGATTATATTTCCTGCTTTCAAATCAAGAATTGGATAGAAAATCCTTTTTTTACTCTTGATTCCTAAAATCCTTTTTTCTCTTGATCCCATTTAATTTAAATTTTATTCCAGTATATCCTTAGATGTTGATAACATCATAATTTACGATAAGAAAGAAAGCCATTACTCAGTGTTGGCATTATTTGCACAGATTGACAATCCTTGGCTGAACTCACATTCTCATACTTGAAAACTTAGGCTTTTAACTCTGAACCATGCAATGCTCCCTAATATCATGTATTACGGTATCATATAAAATTTAATATTTAAATGTTCAAAATGTGTTAAGATACCCATACCCAGCTTTTGGTGGTTGGTACATTTCAAGCCAAGTTCCTATATCCTGAAATATGGGATTCAAGGAATCTAATACGTTGATTTACACTTGCGCTCGGTCCATGTATCAGAGTTCATGTATCATAGGCAAAAGCTCAGGTTTGCCTTCGAAGCTGAGATTTCCAAACCTTTTAAGATTGGCGGTGGATGAGGATGCAATTATCTTTGATTTAATCGTGGTATAGTTTGGATCCTCGCCTTTTGAGGCCGTATTAAGATTGGGAGGTGCAGTCAGTTTAAGCCTTTTCAGTATGTTATATGGGTGGGGTGGAGGAGAGATTTGCTGGAGATGGGAGTCTCCTCTGAGAGGCCGTAAATTTTCTTGATCAGTACTGTCTGTGCTAGGGAACTGAGGAGAGTATGACTCATTTGTTGATCCACTATCTTGTAGTGAATGGACCTTTAGCCCCTTAATTTTCTTTGTTTGGGATCATTTGGATTTCCTTGAGGTTGGTGATTGAGGTGCTGGAGTTCTGGAAGCTGGTTGTATTGGGAGGCAGAGGTGGGAGGTTTTGTGGCGTGCGGCTTATGCCAGTGGCGGTTCTTGTGGTTTGCATGAAAAGGAGACATTTTAAAGGCGTTGAATCACCAATTTCCAAACTCAAGAAGACTTATTTGAGAACCTTAATTTTTTGGTTTCAGGATGCTTAGCATTTCTGATCATAATTGTGTGTGTGGTGAAAGAAAAAACGGGAGGGCTTTTTTTTTTTTTTTTTGTGGGGGGTTGTGTATTTCTTTTTTGAAACTCACACTCACTTTGCCCCTATGGGGACTTGAACCCGCGACCTTCTACTTCGGAAGGTGAGGGAGTACCATTAGGCTACCGCCGTTAGTGGTAATTGGGGGGATAGTCATTGCTTATATTTTTGTGTACCCGGGGGTATAAGTTGTTAATGGTTTGCATTTTGGTTGTCTTTTTTAATTCATTTATTTTTATAGTGTGTATGTGTATATTGTATGTATTGCATGTATCAGGCATGTCCCCCTTGATGCTGATTAAGGAAAAAAAAAAAAAAGAAGGAAAAAATCTTTATCTAACATGCTTAACTTCTTTTTTATATCCTGTGAACAAGTTGAGAAATTCTTATTCCTATGCTTAAAATAGAAATTATGGTCCTTCTAGGAACCAGTTTCATCTGAAGTGATTCTTATATCCAGTCTAGAAATTTTCACTTTCATATGAAGTGTTTGACATTGAACACTTGCTTACACTTGCTTAAATATATTAGAATTAATTTGTTCATGGTGACCTTATAGTGTTAGCCTTGTATTAGACAATAGTATTGATAATTTGTTTTGTGTTATTTTAGGAATCTGGTATTGACGTACGCCTGTGTGATGTTGGTGCTGCAATCCAAGAAGTTATGGAGTCATATGAGGTTGAAATTAACGGGAAGGTGTTCCAAGGTATAATTTGTACCTAAGACTAGGGAGTAATAGTTTTATCAACTATTCTCTGTGGTTTTATTATTTGTGCTGCATATTACTACTGCCGAAAGGTATGGAAGAATCACCATAACTCATGCATTAGTGTATACGACATGCTTCTTTGGCTTGGTAACAAGCCAGCTGGTTTAGCTTTTCTTCATAAAGTCGGGTTTGTTTTGACATTTCGTGAAAATCAATATAGTATGTATATATATATATATATATATATTCTTTTTAATGTCAATTATATGCAAAAATCAATTTTCCATCATTTAGATCGGGCTTGTGAATAGGAAATGTGGCCATGACCTCAGACTAGGGAGTAATAGTTTTATCAACTATTCTTCGTGGTTTTATTATTTGTGCTGCATATTACTACTGCCAGAAGGTATGGAAGAATCACCATAACTCATGCATTAGTGTGTATGACATGCTGCTTTGGCTCGGTAACAAGCCAGCTGGTTTAGCTTTTCTTCATAAAGTAGGTGTTGGTTTGATATTTCGTGAAAATCAATATAGTTTGTTTATATATATATGTATATTATTTTTGTTGTCAATTGTATGCAAGCATCAAATCTCCATCATTTAGATTGGGCTTGTGAATAGGAAACATGGCCATGACCTCAGTCAAGACTTGGTCATTGTTGAAAACTGTCTTAAAATCTGATTCAGCATGCAGCCCGGAGCTTATAATAGTGTCAAACTGAGATCCAGGTCCTTTGTGTGTGTGTGTGTGTGTACCATGAATTGTCTTCTTATGACGACTCAATCAGATGGATGAATTTTTATTTGTTGTTGTTGATAAATTATGAACCTGTTTGCTCTCTAAAGCTATTGAAATTTGGTCAGTGCTCTCTTAAACCCTAAATGGGTTAGTATCATTACATATTATGGTGCTTTTCTCCCATAATTTCTTTGTATAACTGCAATTAATTTTTAAAACAATATTCTTCCATACCATTTTGACGATGCCCAACTTTTCTTCTATTTGGAAACTCGTGATTTCTTTTTTCATTCCTCCCATCTCTTCAGTTTTCACAAAACACATTGTATTGATCTGTATGGAATTTGGCTGTTTTGGCAGTTAAAAGTATCCGTAATCTGAATGGACATAGTGTTGGGCGCTATCAAATCCATGCTGGAAAATCTGTTCCTATAGTGAAAGGAGGAGAACAGACAAAAATGGAAGAGGGTGAATTTTTCGCAATAGAAACTTTTGGCTCTACAGGTAAAAATGATATTCGGTCTAAAAAAGATAGATAGTGGATGTGCATTATGATGTAACATGTCCTTATTTTTTTGGTGTTGTATGCAGGTAAGGGATATGTAAGAGAAGATCTGGAGTGCAGCCATTACATGAAGAATTTTGATGTTGGTCACATTCCACTGCGGTTACCAAGAGCAAAGCAACTACTTGCCACAATCAATAAGAACTTCTCCACATTGGCTTTCTGCAGACGTTATCTGGACCGCCTAGGGGAGACTAAATATCTAATGGCACTAAAGAATTTGTGTGATGCTGGTATTGTTCAGGTTTGTCTCGAGACATGCCTTGCATTTGGTTTTCCTTTTTCTTTTTGCCTTTTTGAAGTGTGCAATTTTATTATTTGTTATGGGAGTGAGTTCATTTTTGCTTAATCTCGCTTTCTTTTTATTTGATTCTTGTTTGTTAAAATTCAAGACTATGGAAAATAAGTAATATTGAGTTGTAACTTAAATTCAAGAGTTTACAGCATAAGGTGGGGGTGGTTGCTATTAGAAATTTTTTTTGATTCCCGGCTGGAATTTGTAGAGGCAATAGTTTTGTGGCACCTTTAATACAGAAAACAAAAAACAAGAAGAATGAAAGAAACGATCGTTAAGATGGGCTGGCTCTCTATTTCTATATTTGTACATTTAGTGTGTATATCCTGCCTACGTGGGGGATGATGATAACAGATTATTATGTGAAATGCATAAGATTAAAGGAATTCATTTAAATTTTACTTGATAGCGTGGATCTCAACCTTTTTTAATGTGTTCCTGATTTATCTATAAGAATGCTATTTCTTTTTGTATGTGAATTGAGACTAATGAAGAGCTTTGCTAATATGTTTTTGGCAGCCTTACCCTCCTCTTTGTGACATCAAGGGCTCCTATGTGTCTCAGTTTGAGCATACTATCTTACTCCGACCAACTTGCAAAGAGGTCATATCAAGAGGTGATGACTATTGATTGTGACGAATCAAATCTTGGCTTTGGCTTGGTGATACCCGCACGTTGGCTCTACATTCCAATTCAGATGTGAAGGAATTGCGCCAGATCTTCTGTTTTGAAATTTATGATTATTCCACCGCCAATTGCCATCCCAAGAAAAAATCTAGCTTATACAAGTATATTAAATAAACTTGTCTGTCTAAAAGAATACACTTGATAACCTTTTTGGTACTGCTTTTTGGGAGATACTGGGTAAGGTTTGCTTGTACCCAATCTCTGTTCCACATCCCAATCTATGATTTAGCTATTGATCCAAAAAATTGTGAAAGCAAAATATTTTTAGTGAAGCATGGGAAATGAATGAATACGCATAGATGTTGGCTTGTGCTCTCCTTCTGTACTTACCTAAAGACGAAAAGTGCGTGACTAGCGCATTTTAGACAGGTGCTTGGTTTGGGTTTCTTCTTCAATTCTCAACTCTTATGCTGCAGGGCACTTCTGTCTCCCTTTTCTTTTACATTTCAGTTTTGGGCCAGTATTCAGCTTTTCTATTTATCATGTTTACATGAATTTAAATGCAATTTCAATTGTTGATCTGCGTCGCACGCAAAATTGAACATTAAGGAATGAGTTTTCATGAGTTAATGTTCCCAAAGAAAAGGAATGGCTAATCTTATTATATAGGGTAAAACATGTTTTTATTTTTATTTTTATTTATTTATTTATTTTTGCATGCCATCTGTGTGAAGCCAAAATTGGAAATAAAGTGATGTCCTACTAGGTCTCCTGAATTAAACGGTGTGTCATTTGGAATTTGAAGCAGTATTAACTATACACAAGTAATGGTGACATTGTGTTTTTTCTTATTTAAGATAACTCTCATGCAAGATCTTAGACATTCAAAACTAACAAGATCTTAGATATGCCAAAGGAGAATGTTTCAGGGTTCAAAGATTCATAAGAGGCATGGATTCACCTATTTATAAGGACATTTAAGGGTGTTTTTTCGTTCAGGATAAATATACTTCTTGTACCACAACAAATGGCTTGTTTGATTGACTTGAAGGAGCTCAAGTACACATTATCAGCCTTTAAAAATAATGCCAGAGGATACTTCATTTTTTTATGGCTGTATGGTTGGATCGGGTGGAAGAGGGAGACTGCAAGGAGTGGTTTGTCGGAAAATAAGATATGAAGAGAATCGAAAAGTCCCAAGTCCACGAATAATGTACATCAACACAGAAGTAATTCTATGAACAAGTTTTCACTCTAAACATGCATGGTGCATTGGTTTGGCTAAACATAGATTTTGATATGATTCCGAGTGAATCTCCCACTTTGAAAATGATATGCTTTAAAATCTTGTAAGCGAGATTGTAAGTGAAGAGCTGGGGATTACTGGCAGTGACTTTCTAGTTAAGGGGTGTTGCATTCATCTGACTTAATTATCAAACCCCTCAAACACGCCCAACAAAAAAGAAACTGTTTTTAACAGTTAACAATATATCAGACCTAGATTATCAACCCTGGAAGGAACACACATGGTAAACAAATATGACAATTAGATGAATTCTCTTTCACAATGTTCATTCAGCACGTGCACGTTCAAATGCAATGCAATTTCTATTACACTGGATCGGTTTCTATTTTTCCAAACAGCCAAATAGTTTCAATATCAGAAGTGAAAAGTTAAAACTACATTGCTCTTATTATGCAACACGTGATCCTACAATGCAATATATTAGCCATTTGACTTCTTTTTCTGCTAATAAAATTAAATATTTCAGATTTGCACAGATAATCGTTCTCTTTGATAATGTGAACAAAGACCAAAAATAGGATTTCCTCTCATTTTCTAGACTGTCAGTGTCTGCAAATTTTATCTTCGTCATCTTGTTCATGGTCATTGACCCAAGTGATCCTCACCGGCCCCTCCTTCATCTCCTCTTCCTCCATAATCAATCCATGGTAGCATAGACTCAAACAAGACAGCTAATGCATTTCGATTTGCAACATCACGAGGAGCACGTGCCCCACCAGCTGGGTTGGCGAATTGATCCCTGTTCTGCTGTTCTCTCATCCTCGGATCAGCTAGAAAATTTTGCAGGTTATCAGGTGGCAGAGTTGGCACTGAATCAGAAAAATCTGATACCAGCAGATGCTTGTACCTGGCAATCAAGAAATTTCTGCATTTAAACTCCCTGCATGTGTAATAACTAAACTACAGTACTAGCATAATGGGTGCTACAATTGTACATTTTACATAACGACCTGATTAACAATACTAAACTTACAGGAATCCTTCCTAAGCCTTCTAATTTATCGAACTAACGTAGCACACATGCTTTTTGGGAGACCAAAAAGATTGATGCTATGTGTTCCTTGACTTGAAATATTTGTAATAATTTTTACATGAAGAGAAAAAATCAATTTTCTGATATATATATATATATATATATATGCTTGGTTGAAATTTTAAAACTATTTGCCAAATTTAAAAAATGCAAGAAACATTCATATAGAGAAAAGCATTAGCAATTTATATTAGCGTACATGTAAGTTTAGATGTCAGACATGTATATAAGTGAATATATATATGAAAATATACAAGTGTGAATATCTATGTAAATGTAAATATATATATATATATATATATATATATATATATATATTTAATTTATTGGAAAAACTGAAGTAAATAAATTTATATGTACGCAAAGAGGTAAGTGTACATGTACTGTAAACATATATACTAATGAACATGTCTATACAAAAACTATTTGGACACATGATGGACTCTAAAAATTTAAAGAACATTTTGGAAAATGACATGGAAAAAGAATCAGCAAGTCATTTTAGATTTTGCAAGTTACTTTTACTTGCTGCAAAAAAATTTGTAGAACACTTTGTGCAACCAAATGCCCGAAAATGCTGATATATGTTTCAAGAAATGTTATATATAAACAAACAGAATCCCAAAGGAGCTGCATCTAAAAGAGAGAAAAATAACACTGTATTCATTTGATAAACTACTTACTCATTTTTCTCAGATGAGAATGCTTCTTTTCTCACACAAGCCCAATCTTTTGCATCACTTCTATTATGTTCCAGCGTCTCAACCACCAGTAGTGCAGAGTCCTTAAGCAATTTTTGCATATCAGGGAGCCTCCATACAAGGTAACTCCTCTCAACATATATATTATTCAGGTGATCCAAGGATGGGATTCCGGTTTGATCTGACCCAAAGAAGCTATGCTTGAGTATCTTTGTCCATATCTGATCCTTTAAAGGTACTTTTGCCACTAGTTTTTTTAAGATTGAAGGATGAAGCATCAAAGCCTGCTTCATGAGATCAGTTGAAGAGGCTTTTCCAGTGTCTGTTTGACTATCTTTTGAGAGCCCCTCCTGCTCAAGATAAAACCGGCACACGGCGAGAGAGTATGAAAAATTTGGAAATAACCACAAGGAATTATCACTTCTATATTCTTCAGAGAATCGTTCTAGCCATGTGTACTCTTCTGCTCTCAAAGAGTAGTAGTCAATGCAATAAATGGCACCCATCGGATCATCCGAATCCAATGAAAGCAATAGTTTGCAAATTTCAAGTGCAGATCGATGGCACCCACGCCTATCCATATTTTTCATGTGACTGAAAAGTGTAGTGAACAATGGCTTGTTCGTGTCATGGCCATATTTCAACTGGCAATTACTCTGCAAGGGGCTGAACATTGGATGCCATGCACATTCCAAGGCATATAGACACTTCGCAATAAACTCTGCCGACATTTGATGCTCACCCGAGAATTTAAAATACTCTGCCATAGTAATGAGCGAATCTACATGGTAAGGATTGTTAAATAGAACACTTGCTATACCATTAAGATCATTTATTGCTTTGGTAGCTTCGAATGATCTCTGAGCTTGGCTATAGGAAGATGAATGTACATATCTACATGATATTGACAAAAACCAAAATAAGAGACATGATAAACAATAAAACCAAAAATTACTACAGAGTGAAATTCTATTGTATGTCATTATGTTCATAAGTGACAAAAAGCTAACTTGTATATAATGCATATGAAGTAGGGGAAAAAAAGAAAGAAAAAAAAGATGAAGACTAAAGTTTGGAAGAGGTTGTGAGTTCCACTCCTTGAAGATGGATATTGCACCCGAACTTTGTGCATCTATCAAAAAAATAGGAGACTATTCAATCATAATACACAATTGTGGTTGCTTATAAATGGGATATCTGGCAAAAGTAGAATTTGTCTAGAGATATAAAACAAGCTGAGCTGTAGGCCAACATAGAGGCTCAGATCAGCGAGATGCGTGTGCATATGCAACAAGTAACATTTTCATAGAAGAAGAAAAACAAGCTGAGCTGTAGGCTAACATAGAGGCTCAGATTGGCGAGATGCATGTGCATATGCAAGAAGAAGAAGAAGAAGAAGAAGAAGAAGATATAATTAAACTGTAAGTAAGACACAGATTTACGTATAACTTCAATATTTTATTTTTGATGGAATGATATTTAGGCCTTCCTTGAAAAGCAATTTTGTTGATGGAAGTTTTCTTGAGCTCATATTACAGGATCCTGAGTGATAGAGGGCTGAAAGCATCTTAAGCTTTCCTTGAAAAGCGATTTAGCTTAATAAAGTACGCTTGAAGGTGGGTTCCATTGTGTGCCAAGCAGTAAGAGATGCCACCTTATAATTTGAGAAGGGGAAGCCTTTTTATTCTTGAGTGGTGGAATGTGTATAAGAGAAGAGAGAGAGCACCGATCATCTTCCCTTTCACTGTGACTTTGCTAGGGATATGTGATGGGTGCCTCTTATTCTCTTTGTTTGGGATGCTGGGTCATGCCAGAGACTTGGTGGACAGCCTTTAGGCTTTCCGACGGGGGCCGCATAAGGTAGGATGTTTTAAGCTAGGACTTAGTTCCCGTGTATCTCATGTGCAGCATAGCAAGTGAGAAAATAGAAGATCCTTTGAAAAAGAAGTGTAGTCCACCCAAAGAGGTGATGAAAATATCAAATTCAAGTGCTGTGGTATCAACTTCTTTCGCTCAATGAGGTTATGAAAATATCCGTGGATGCTTCTTGAGATTTTGGCAAAGAAATATTTATCTTTTTGACTCGCTTCTGCATTCTCGCACCCGCATTAAAAATATATATATATATATGAAAAAAAAGAAAACCTATATTGGTAGCTTCAGCAAATTCATTGGAGTTTCATATCAGAGGTCGAGGATGAAGCAAATGTTATTACCAAATGTTATTCATTGCTCATCATATACATCATTTGTAATTTATCTTTTTGACTTGCTTCTGTATTCTCTCACGAAAAATAAAAAATAAAAAAAGAAGAAGAAAAAGAGAAAAAAAAAAAAAAAAAAAACACAATATTGGTAGCTCAGCAAATTCATTGGTTTCATATGTGAGGTCGAGGATGAAGAAAATGTTATTTGGGAGATAGTTATAGCAAATGTTATTCATTGCTCATCATTTGTACATGAAATGTGCTCCCTTGGTTCCTTTACCCAATATCTTTTACTCATCAGAAAAATTATAGTGAGTAGAAAAACATGAATTTAAACATTTCACTAATTAACTTGGGGGAAACATAGTGAAGTTGTATATTAACAGCTGCAATAAATAAATACATATATACGATGCTATTCCAACAATGACTAAAGGATTAGGGATGAAAATCACCTGAAATAGTTGTATCCATCTTTGGTTTCCAGAAGTTCCATGGACAAAGAGCCATCCCAACGAGGCCAATGGTCTGACGGAGAGACAAGAATAGTCTTCCTATGGTTGTGGACTCCACGTCGACCCCCACGTGATTGTCTAGAACTGCCTGTTTGATTACTTTTTTCAAATAAATTCACTACCTTAGAGCCAAATATTCTTTTTAGCTCATTTTCTGCACTTAGAAATTTGGGATCCACTTGTAAAATAGACGGGATACATTGTTTAACCAGGCTGTCACCAACTTTTACATTTCCTTGTTTAGCTTTTAAAGGACCAGGCTGAGGACTAGCAGACTGAGCTTCAAAAGATAAACCTTCTAACATCACATCCAAGGGTCTTTCAACATTTTCTACATTTGAAGAGGGAACCTCCTTTCTTTTTTTCTTTTTCTTTTTTTTCGCCTTGTTATTAGACAATGGAATTGAGTTCACAGTAGCTTTCACCACAGAGGGTTCTTCATCATCAATGTGTCCTACCAAGGATTCATCGGCAATTTCTGACTCAAACACCTGCAGCTGAAAATATTATTAGGTAGCGAAATCAAATAAAGTGCAGATGCAATATGACTGCACTTGCTGCTATTGCCAATAACGTGTTAAGAGATAAATAAATAAAACCTGAGCGTGTGTCATAAAATCAAAATGTCAACAGATGACAATCAAAGATAAGGAAGAAGCGTCGAGGAAAAAAAGATTCATATTAATTACTTATTCTTGCAGGCACACACCTAGTATAATTGCTTATCATGTTTCTGAACAGTCTTGCAATATGCATTATAAGCTAACAGTGAGGTTTACACCCTCTAGTCTTCAAGATGTTCACAAGTGAGCTAATCTGCGGGCAGAATCTATAGAGGACTTGGCTTAACCAAAAGCACAAGAACATGATAAAACACAAAGAGCAAGTAAAAGTTTCATGTAATTCCTCATTTTTCATCATTATCCTTTGTTCTTAGTAAGGAGATAGTAACCTGGTGCAACCATAAAGCTTGAGTTGACAAATGATGATATAGATTTGACTTAGGTTAAATTCTTTTGTTTTAGGAGTTCTCAATTCATAAAAAACATGACCGAATTGGCTATCAAGCGGGACGAAAGTAATAGTCTGGTTTTGCCCACATCAACTCATTGCAACGAAGTTGGATTACTTCACAAACTAAGAAGGATATAAATAATTCCAAATATGTTTAAAAATTTAAATGTACGGTTGGAATAAAGAAAAAGTATAAAACATTTAATGGGGTAATTTATGAATTTATCCATAAAATAGGTGTAATTGAGAGACGCAAAATAAGTATGGTGATGGTCCACAAGGTTTGCCAACCCTATCTTGGGCTAGGGATTGCGCACCACTGTGTGTGTGGTTGGGCCTCGGTGGCCCAAGTCATGGTTACTTGTTTGAAGTGTCTGTAAATTGGACCCTAAATTAGAGGCATAGTAATAAATAAAATAAGGTAAATAAAACCTGATTAAGCGAACAGATTAGTGGAAGCTATAGAATTTTATTTTAAGAAGAACAGTAAGTAACATTACCCTAATTGAAGTCAGAACTAAAGATATAAATATTCTAAACTAAGTAAGCGTGAAGTTTTAGTTTGAATAGAAGAAGGAAGAGGACTTTAAGTTTTATTTTATGCCTAAATCACATGTTATATGCCATTGTCTAGGTTGATTCGATCATGAACTTATATGCTGGCATCTGTTACTTGTGTATAAATCTTATATTGAGATATATTTGCATTTCATTATATGTTGGCATCAAAGACGACATCCGGAAGGTGTCTATTATCCATGTACGATCTTGTGAGAAGAAGTCATTATATATGGAATCTTGTATTGATTGGAGATCATTTGGATCAAATAACAAATTTATCCCTGGGGCATGAAAGGGCTGTTGGTTGAAGCAAGAAGGGACCTACGTGACAAGCAAGAAGGGACTACTATGAGCTTTTGGGTGAGAAGCTCTAGTCACCATATGTTGCCAATATTTCAATGTGGCAACGGTCTGTGCTGCATTATATTTCATGTTGCCAGGACATCTGAATTGTGATCCCATTTATTTAATAGTTATTCATATTATATGTCTATTTTCTTAGATCATGTTATTAGATCACGAAGTGTTTTTAATACTATGTATAGGTTGTTTTCCTACTGGGAATTACTTATTCTGACCACGTTTGCAGAGAATGATGGAGCAAGGGAGCAGTTGACGCTTTGGTTATGTTGTAGATTTTTTTTCTTTTTTTTTTGTTTTTTTTTTTTTTTTTTTGTCCAGTAGATTATTAATAGTATTTATTTTGGTTTGAGATATTTAATGATACTAAAATTTTTAGTGGTTTGTAGCAGTTTATGATATTAGACTTAAGATTTTAACTTTATTATAGTTGATTTTCGGATCAAATTATATTATTGTTAGTTTTTTTCAGTAAATAAAGTTAGATTTCTGTACATTCATGATTGTTTTGATAATATTACAACAGAGACATTCATCTGACTGGTTAAAACTTAAAAATCATAACGAAACAATTCAATTGATTTTTTTGGTGAAATTCAGAAGTAATAACAGATAATAGGCGAAACCCTCAACATCTCGAAACTCGCATACATACATCAATTTTATAAATACAGAATACGTAACGCAGATATCAGAACAGGTAAGGAACCAAACCTGATCATCGTCGTCGTTGAGAAGATCAAAGAGATTTCTGGAAGAGCGAGCGGTCGATTCAGGGGAATCCTCGGAGTCATCACCGTCCAATTTATTCTGAATTAGTTGTTGTTCTTCTTCTTGTTCTTTGAGGACTTTCTTCAGCAATCGAGCCGACATTGTTAACCCTTAGAGCTCGATTTCAATGGTTCCTGATTGCTTTCGAATCAGCTTATGCAGCTGATATGTTGAGAGATAGTAGAGTATATGATAGAATATTGTTGTAATTGGGCTGAGAAAAGTGGTTTAGGGCTAACTCGTGCCCTATGTCAACTCGGATTTGGATCCTTTTTGGAGAGATCTCGACTTTTTTTAGTTGGGCTCAGTTGGTTGAAGTTGGATACAGTTCTTAGGCCTACTCTAGTTTCTGCTAAGCCCAGTTTGAAAACAGGCCCAACAGGGGTCGAGCATCATAGTCCAACTTGGATTGTTGAGCCCAAGAAAGTAGTGGGTTGATGGCATTAGCGAGAAATTGTCATCCCGTGAAGCGTAAAAAAGGCTGTCATCCAATTACATTCTAATCTAGGAGGTTCTCGGACTGATACGTACAAAAATTAAAAAGAATATTGATAAAAAATGTGACAATCCTCAAATTAATTTTATGTAAGTAAAGATTGACGTTATAATTACATCATGACGATGTTAGTTCTCACCTACATAAATTAGTAAGGCTTATAACGCATGTATAACTTTCCGACTCCAAATTATTAACCAAATGAAAAACAAAAGTGAGCATTTTGAAAAGGAACATTGCGAGACAAATCATTATCTTTTAGCTTTCCCTCAATCCTAGTCCTCACGCACAACATATATTCCTTAATTTAGCTTAGTATAACTTAGCAACCACCTTAAATTTATAATTGAAGAAAATTTAGTTAAAAATGAGTATATTTAATACAAAATTGTTTCTGTTAGACAGCGAGAGAAAGACTAATTTCTGTGAACTTGATTGTATCTCATGCAACCTTTTAAGATGTAGTTTTTGTATCTGTCAGATATCAGCTTCTGCTAATTGATATAATATTTAAAAAAAAATGTCCACTGCAGGTTTAATTAACGTTCATATCATTATTTAGAATGCAAGTATGGGCAATTAAGATGAAATGTATGAGACTATGCAGATTTTGATAAACTGTCTGAAATTGGTTCAAGTTTGAGTCTTACCCAAATTAACATCCAATAGACAAAAACTGGCCCGTATATGAAAAAAAGTAGTAGATCGCCGAAAGGGTACGGATAAAAAGAAGAAAAACAAGCACAAGCACAAGACTGCATCATAGTTGGAGCACTGTGTATGTTCCTGTATACAGAATAATGATATCTTCTTGCATGCTAAAGTGAAGAATTAGCAGTACAAAAGAGAGAATATTAGCTTCATACCACACCTGCAGTACAGTGACAGACGTGACATGGCCACACTGGTCCCTCCATCCCCTAGCTTGCCGCCGCACAATGCCAGTCCGCATATTGCGGACTTAGGGTTCTTTCATAATCGAATGCTGTGAGAAGGTGTAACGATCCACTCCACCACATGGTATGATATTGTTCGCTTTGGACCTGAGTCCCGACCACGACACACCCGCCCATGAGGTCATCACAATCCACCTCCCTTAGGGGCCCGACGTCCCCGTCGGCACACTTCCGATTGAGTCAGCATCTGATACTATTTGTAACGACTCACTCCACCACATGGTATGATATTGTCTGCTTTGGGTCTGAACCCGCACGGTTTTACTCTTAAGCTTCACCCCAAAAGGCCTCATACCAATTGGAGGTGACACACTTACATATAAGTACTTCACATTTTCTCTACCCAGACGATGTAGGACTGTGCACCCGTAGCTCACCAGTGTGATAGCTTGACAGTGTTTCTCGCACCCGCCCACGACACACCCGCCCACAGAATTATCACAATGGGGATCAGGAATTATATATGCGTATATATATAATATGTGGAAGGCATGTGAGTGGGATTGGGGCATATGATTAGGCACACCACTAAAGGATGCAAACATCATTACAAGCACCATTAGCATGGTATGGATCAATAATTTGCATGCACACAACAAATATAATTAATTTACATGGTATTGATTGATTTGGATTTTGTGTCCATCCCAAATCATCATTGCTAATTCTATATCATTACATCTGCCTTTATCTTTCTCTACTTTGGTAAATTAAGTGTCAAAATTGTGAATTGGGCTTATACTTTTTGGGTTTGTGCTTGGATACTTGAACATATCTTAACCTGCAAAATTTCCAATAGGGAATAACTGCTCAATATTGCACCAAAGGGCTTCAATTAGAGGCAATTGCAATCTCATAAAGAAAAATATATAAATTACTAGCAATATGTACATGGAAGTTTGATGCAACTATCAATTATCTTAGTGAAACTTTTGGTGCGACTATCATTGCCTATGATCTTTAAGGATACGTTTTTCTTAGAACTGAATATCATCTTACTTGGGAAAGGCATTGTTAACTTGTATTATGGAGCTTGAGATGTTATGACTCATGCAATGCCTTAATCATATATGTAAAAGCATTCTTAATAATAATAATAACTTCGTTGAATTGAATGCCTTGCCTATAAGTTAGCTTGATATATTGAAATAAATCTGACATTAAGCTCGTTGCCGAGTATCTTCATCTAAATAGTTAAAAGAACACAAGCACAACATCGTCATTCTTCTTGTTTTAATGAGGTTGGGTAATTTAGGGGAAAAAAAATGAGGTCGGGTCTATGAATTTTTTTTTTACATTTTTCTCCCAATATTTAACTATTTCACCTCACATCTTAAAAGTTGAGAGTTCAAATTCCTTTGAATATATAACTCCCGGAAAATTTTATTTTTAATTGTTCAACACATGTGAGACCAAATTATATGTAATAAATAAATGGGATATTTTAAGAGGCCCGAACACATCATTGTGGACTGAAAAAGAAAATATCTATATTTTAATTATTTCTATTAATTTCATAAAATAAAATTAAAAAGAAAAGTTAGTTACTAGGTGTGTGGACTTGAGAATTTGAAATTAAAGTTACCTCGTATCCTCCCTACGATGATGATGAGCCTATGCATAAAAAAAAAAATAAAAAAAAGCTAGTATAAAAGAGGTTGGTTGGGTGTGTGACTAGGGCAAGGCCAAAATGGGGCATAACGGTGGCGTTGCTAACTTGAAGAACGCTCTAATAGCGTTGCTGGCACCTCTTCCCTCCATACTTTTCTATCTCTCCTTCCTTCACCATGGTACTCTTGCTGAAGACGATTTTCTCTCTCCTCTGTGGATGTGGTGCTATAACCACCCTCTCCTATTGGCCAATGTCCTCTTCTTCATCAACGTTAACCTCCTCTTCTGGATCATTGGTCTCATCCAGTCAAACCATTGGGTAGCTCATTAATTTCATACTTTTTTTTTTTGTCCCTCATCCAGATTCTCATATCATGCACTCACTTTTTGTGCAGATGATTGATCCATATTGGACTGTTATACCAGTCTTGCTTGTTCATTACTATGCAACTCACCCTCTCGCTCAATACAACGCTTTGAGGTCGAAGATTGTGATCTTGTTGACTTGGGTTTGGAGTACCAGGCTCAGTCATAACTACTTCCGCCGAGAAAAGTGGCAGTGGGGTGCCAGAGAAGACTGGAGATTCTCCGATATGCGCCATCAATACGGCAAAAACTGGTGGTGGGTTTCCTTCTTTTCGGTCTATCTCTCTCAGCAGGTAAACTTTTTTTGTCCCTATCCAACACTTCCTTATCTTGCAGCGCTCGATGAGGTTAGAAATAGGTAAATTATGTGATGAGGGATATCTGTTCGATGAATTGACTGAAAGAGATTCCTTGGCAGTTAATCGGATGCTTTGTTGTTTTTGTTTGTTAACCAACATCAAGGCTTAAAACTATTAGAGAGCAGTGCAACATATCCATATTAATACAAATGCTTCTATTTACGGGTTGGTTGCTTTGGGTCTTAACTTCCGAGTCACATGTCATGCTTTCAAGACTGGTAAAGAGAAGAAGAAAAGAATGCATCTAATTGAGTGATTCCATCACTACATGTCTATATTAGTATAATGTTATTAGTATCACCGTCGTATTAATTTTTTTTTTCCTTCTACGGGAGGCACATATTGGGTAGGGGTGAATCTTATATTTTTTTAGGGAGGTGGTATTGTGGTATGAACGCGAGACCTTTCGACACTGTTAGTATGTTATCCATCATTTGCTCCAAAAGTTTATAACATAGTTGTTTCAATATTATTAAAATTCAAAACTTTGCAGGTGTTTTTGATTGGAGTATGCCTTCCATTTTATGTCGTCCACTCCATCAATGAGCCATGGAATCTTTGGGATGTTGTGGCGACAGTGATCTGTCTGTCTGGTATTGTTGTTGCCTATTTTGCTGACACACAACTTCACAGTTTTGTGAGTAGAAATGAGAAAGTAAAAGAACTTGGCAAGCCAGTGGTTGTCAATCTTGACAAGGGCCTATGGAGGTACTCTCGGCATCCAAACTACTTTGGAGAGCAGTTATGGTGGTGGGGACTGGTCGTCTTCGGATGGAATTTGGGTTGTGGCTGGATCTTTGTTGGGGCACTCATAAACAGCATGTGTTTAGCATATGTCACCATGCTTGTGGAGAAGCGCATGCTAAACCAAGATTACAGAGCTGAAGCATACAGGCAGTATCAGAAGACCACATCAGTATGGATTCCTTGGTTCAAGTCATCTCCAAAGGGAGGAAAGGATAAAAACAGTTGATTCGTTGTTTCTTCTGGTGTGCCTTCCTTTATTACATGTACCTTCTTTTATGCATTTAGTTGTGTTCCTATCTTGATAAGGTCAGTATTTGTTCATGTACTCTGTTGTTAATTTGGAAGAAGGGAGAATGTTATTCGAGTGTAGCCACATGGTTCGTTATATGAAATTGTATAAATCTTTCCTGCATTTACGAAAGCACCACCCTTGTTTCAGTTGCCTAATGTTTATTAGGGCTCTAGCTTTATTACCGGTTCAAGATTGTTACACCGGACAAGAGATCGATATAAATGCTTTTCATCTCATGATTTGAATGGAGCTAGACAAAAGCTTTAGCTGCCCAGAAGCTGTAGCTTGTTAAGTAAACACCTTTGGTGTCATACGATGCATTTCTATATGTCTATTGTGGATTTCCTGCATTCCTAATGATAAATCATTTTAGACATGGGATGAGTAACTATCTCATTTGGGATGGATATAGTCTTAATGTTCAACTTTCTCGTTGAATTAAAAAAAAAAAAAATGCAGAACAGTTATGATAATCTTTGTTAGAAATGTTGCTTAGATTGGATTCTCTGCTGCAATGATCGTGAATACCACTTGTTCAATATACTTTGGTCAACATTTTTTTTTTTTTTTTTCGCATATTTTTAGAAATTGTATTTGTAACTAACACAATCTGTCAAGCAAGATTCAGGTTAAGTTATTGGGGAACATCTAAATTCTCATTAGGCATTCTAGTTTCTACCTGAATTGGTATAAATTGACTTTTATCAGTCGTGACTCGTGATGTGTATAACCCCTAATGACGTCTTAGTTTTTTTTACCCCCAAATTAATTTTATTGGAGATGATGTTGTCATGTTGAATGTTTAGTTGCAATTTTGGTCGTATGTAAATCTTTGGCAGAAGAACCGTCAGACTTCCAAATTCAACCGTTAAGACATCTTATTCACCAAACCATTGAACCCTAAAATAAAACACATGCTTCAAGCATTTCTTCACAATATCTTGATTTTGTTGATAGACAGAAAGCTAAAGAGAAAGTAGAGAAAGTAGAGAAAGAAGAAAGAAGAAAGAAGATTGGCAAGGAGAAATTATTACATGGTGGTCCGGGACCATGTAGTTCCGGGCAATAACAGACTATTACGTAATTAAATGTCAATTTTTATGTAACTTTTTAGTTGAGTGGTGGCTTGTTATTGGCCGGGATCGCATTGTTCCAGACCATATAATATTTTTTTTCCAATGAAGTATTTTCACTCACACTTTTTTGTTTTCGTAGAAATTTGATTTCTCAACCTCTTTATGTTGAAAAGGTATAGCTAGTTATACTACTTGGTTTCATTAAAACACCTAAACAACTTTTATTGAATGTTGAAATCCACTAAAGACAGTGGTTGCATGAGATTATCTCTATTTAAATGAAGTATGAGAATGATTTTGGACAAATATTACAACTTATCTAGAACCTATCAAATAAGAGTAACTCACATAAGAGTCACGACTCATGAATCCTTTCACATTTCACATTTTTTAAGATTAATAAAAAGTCAAATGAATTAATTTTTCAAACAATAATATCACAATATATTTATTAAGAAAAATTTAAAATATACTTATTTTATGTTTGTGAAAGGAATAGTATATAATATCTATATTATATTAGTGATTGTATTTAAATTCATAATATTTATAAAAATTAATAATTAATTTTTTATTATCATATCCTGCTTGTACCCGAATTCTATTTATTTGAAATTTATCGCATCACAGCTCACTATATTTACTTATTTTTTAAAAAATTAAAGAAAGAGATAGAAAAGTAAAGGTTATTATAATTTGGGGGCTATATATACAATTGTGGAAAAAAACAAGATTATTATGCAAATACTAATAGTTAAAAGAGTAGGGTTTTGGGAATTGTTTGTCGCGGAGATAATCGCCGAGGGAAAGAGAAGACGGTCAAGACGAAGAGTGCAAACCTACTTTCAGCGCTTTTCCGACCACCATTGTCGCTTCTTCTTCTTGCTGCATCAATAGCTTCTTCGTCTTCTCCCAGTTTTCGAGACCTTGTTTTGTTACATCTACATATATATACACATACTCTCTCTCACACTCATATATCATACCAGTAAGTAGTGCTTTCGTCGGGGAGAGAACAGTGGTAATGGGAGGGAAGCGAAAGAAGAGCGATAGCGAGGGGTTTATTGGAGACGGAGAAGAAGAAGATGCGCGCAGTGGGAGAAAGGAGGATGAGAATAAGAAGATGCAAACGAATGGGCAACAGTTGCTTCCATCGATGATAAAAAACAAGGAGAAGAGATCTGAGATCCACGCCAAGCTCAAGCACCAGAAGAAGCTCGAGAAGCGCAAGAAGGTTAAAGCTCGCGACGCTGCTGAGAAGAGAGCCCTTGAGCTCGGTGAGGAGGTCCGTTCCACTTCCCTACTCATATCTCTCTCTCTATATACACACACATGTACTCTCTGATGTTCAGAACCCAATTGAGATATTCAAAGAATTTTGAATTTATTTGATTGTATGAGGATTATTGCCTTTAATTGACTTGCTCTGATGGTTTGTTGAGGTATTTTTCTTCTTTTATTTCATGCGTACAGCCTCCGCCGAAACCGATTCCTCGGACCATCGAGAATACCAGAGAATTGGACGAGACTGTTTGCAAGCCAGATGATGAAGAGGTTTTTTGCCCTACCAATTTTCTATGTTATTTCAATGAATCTGTTTGGACATTGATAGTTTATGAGAAAAATGTTGCAGCATTTTAGTAATTGAAGTAGCTTTGGATTGAATAACTCTAATATTACTGTTTGATATATTGTTTAATGTTTATAATGTTACACTATCTCTCGTTCATTATAGTAAAATCGCGTCTTTCAATATTTAGCAACAGGAAGAAAAATATGGGCCTTTACTTGTATTTAGGTGCCCATTAATTGTGTGTTGATTTGCAGCTATTTGCTGGTAATGATGCGGATGAATTTAGTTCTATTTTGAAGCAAGATGTCACTCCGAAGATATTGATTACCACTTGTCGATTCAATTCTTCGGTATGTATTCCTTTCCTATTCACCACTTGTTGTAAAAACAACCATTCAATTTAGCTTAGAAAATATGTTTGCTTCTGATATATCTTCACATATTTAAGGGTATTCATGTTTCTTTTCTTTTTATTGCTCTGTTTGTAGAGAGGACCTGCTTTTATTTCAGAGCTTTTGTCTGTGATCCCAAATGCTCATTACTACAAGAGAGGAACCTATGACTTGAAAAAGGTGCTGCATGATCTTATTCTTCATCATCTGTTCTTTTTCTTTTCCCCCTATTGTTATATCATAAGAATTTTTAGTTATAAGACGACATGCTTAGATATATTTTGTTATACTACTTTCTTATATAATATGATATCTTAATATTTATGCAGATTGTAGAATATGCAAGGAACAAGGACTTCACTTCCATAATAGTTGTCCACACTAATCGCAGAGAACCAGGTTAGTGCTTTCATGCTTTACATTACATTTCTCTAAACTATAAATGTGTATTTATTGAATAGAAATGCAGCGAATTTCTTTCTGTTTCTTCACTTTATTGTAATTGTAAGGTTCAATGCTGGTGGTTTTTCTGTAGATGCTCTTCTAATCATGGGCTTACCTGATGGACCCACTGCTCACTTCAAGCTCTCAAAACTTGTTTTGCGCAAGGATATTAAGGTCTTCTTCTGGCTGATGTTTTAATTTTTTCTTTTTAATATTACAAACTTCCTCATTCTACCTTCTATGCAATCTACTGTGCATGCAAACTTTTTTCCCGGAAGTTGTGCATACAAAATTTTCGCTAGTCAAGATAGATTTTTATTTTCTTCAAATAGAGAATGAAAAAGAAAAAAATAAGTTAGAGAGGACACAGATTTGTGCATCATCAATCTATTGCAAATGCTAGTCTTATTTGTTCGTTATTTTTATGATAATAATATATATTTGTTATAGCAAGTATAACATACCAATACTCTCTTTCAAACAAGCAATTGTTTCAGTTAGATACAAGCAGATACAACTATCTTTTGTGGGCTAATATTATATGCATAAAAAAATAAAAAAAAAATTAAAAAAAAAACAGATGCATCAACATTTTATGAGGTTTGAACATTATAAATATATCAATGTGCATCTTTAATAGATGAGATTAAGCATGAGATTGTCTTGCTTCAAGTTGGACTTTGCATTATTTTGTTGTTTTTCATATGAAGGGAATTAGTATCATTTGTATGTTTATTAATTGTCATTATGTATATTGCTTGCAGAATCATGGAAATCCAACTGGTCACAAGCCTGAGCTAGTGTTAACTAACTTCACGACACGACTGGGTCATCGTGTTGGGAGGTTGCTTTCTTTTTTTTCCTTATTTTCACTACATGTAGATATTATTTGTGTTTAATCCCAATTATCTATGACATAACTGCTATAATCATGCTTCATCATATATGGAGTCTATATAAAGAAATGTCTCTCTCTCTCTCTCTCTCTCTCTCTACACACACACATACATATCTATATATTCTGACAATTATGTGTTTTTCTGTTTCATTTAGGTTGATACAATCACTTTTTCCACAAGATCCAAATTTTCGTGGCCGGCGAGTTGTAACCTTCCACAACCAGCGTGATTTTATATTCTTCCGCCATCATCGGTGTGTGTCCATTACACTTATGGAGGTTCTATTTTAACAATTTGTACTTGTCTATGGGATGAGATTTTATGATAGTTACATTTTGTTATCTTATGTAAAGGTACATTTTTGAAAGCAAAGAAAGTAAACAGAGTTCCTCAGAAGGTAAAAAAGACAAGAATGCTAAGGATGAGAAGATCTCTCAGGAGAAAGTTATTGCCCGTCTTCAGGTTTGCCTTTCCCAGATCATTTGCTCTCTATAAAGAATACTGTTTTTTTTATGGGGTTTTAATGACAAAATTTCCAGCTTCTAGAACCTTCAGCCTAGACCTCACCCATGTCAGTTTCGCTGCTTAAAAAGGCTCAAAAGTCGCAAAATTTTGAAAACTAGTTCAGTTGATTACATAAATTCTTGGACTTGGTGAGAATTAACTAGTTCTTGTTGAAGAAATTAAGATGAAATTTGTATTCTAAATTATGCTAGTCTCTTGTTCAAGGAATAAGTTGTGGAGTTCGGCTTTCGGGGCTACGTACTTTAGGTCTTATGTAATATATAAAGAAGAGATGAAACTTATATTCTAAGTTATGCATGACTCTAGTCAAGAAATATTCACTGAGCTACTTTGGTAAGCTGTAAATCATTTTGCCATGGAGCACTATTAGGGCAATTTTTTGTTTACGCATTGGCCACCATTTCTATTATCGCTGCCTTGAATAATGAATTTCACCGCCTTTTATCCTTGTAGCACTTTTTGCTTGAATCCATCACTAAGCCTTGTTTGTGTGGTTCAACTGCACATGATCAAACACCATTCAATGACTTTTAATGTTTTAAGTAATGAAAAATACTGAAAAAGGCAAAAAATTTGACTATTCCTATGCCATTTAACCTCATATGTCCCTGGAAACCCTGCTGTTTTTATTCACACAGCCATGCATTAATTCCATAATTCAATTCTTATTTACCAATTTTCAATTGTTACAGTTTCCAAATAGTGGTTGAAAAAGATCAGTTAGTTGAGAAGAAATCACATTGTAATACATCCATTAAAATGCCAAAAAAAAAAAAAAAAAAAAAAATTGACATTCATCATTTGTGGTCAAACCAAATTGCAGACATAAACCTGAACTGCTGGATTAAAAGTTAGTTTTTATTTTTATTTTAAATAATAAAGTGCCATTGCTTGGTGGAATGCTAAAATTTTGAACCATTGTTGCATGACAAATCGGGGTTTAAATCCGCAAGTAACCATTTTGTGTAAAAATAATAACATTCTATCTATCCCAGCACCCTGTATAAGCCGGACAAATGTTAGGTAGCAATAGTGAGATTGAATAACAATCTCTTTGAAGGGATGATTGAGAGTAAGAGAATCTATTGTGATTTGGTTGTGATTGGAAAGGCTTTTGACTCAGGGTTTTTAACAGAGGACTGAAACAATTTTGCAGTTGGGTAAAACTTGGTGATATAGAAGAAATCAGGACCTGTGACCCAAATAATATTATAAAAATGGCCAAACCTACCTAAATATTATGAGTATGAGACCTAAGGTTTCATCTTTGTTTGCTCCAGCAAAATCAATTGTTCTGGCATTTTAAGCTATTTGACTACTTATTTTGACTAGTAAGTGTAAGATGTTTTGGTCATTCCACTATGATGTGGCCGACGACTAGACTACTCTCTCAAATTTAGTAAGTTTTGTTTCAAATTAATCAATTTTCAGTTCACACAGATCCATTGCTCCTTTTGTTCTTTCCTTGTTTCATATTCACGGTGGATATTTTGGGTGAGTGATGTACCCTAAGGCTTAAATTGTTAGGGTGACATGTGGAAGCCTTTGTCCCTCAAAAATGTTTTTCTTATTTTTTCTTTACATATATTCAAATCTTTTTCATTTGGGTGAGTGGTAACTTTCTCTCTTTGTTTTTTTATTATAGGCTTGTTCATTGTATATTTTTAAAAATCCCTAAGATGTACAAAAAATACTTGGTAATAGCTTTCTCATCTTGTAGTTTCTTATGATTTTTTTAATCTGATTTTAAAGACCCCTATCAGCTCAATGCATGATCCCAATTTCAACAATCTTGTCATATCTGTGTAACTACATTTGGTTTTCTGTTTCTTTTAAATTATATTGCCATTTGGTTTTCAATGAGCACACCCCATTTAGAATGACGATATTTCAGGAGAAAATATATATGGGGTGTAGATATGCATGTAGTGTGTTTTGATGTCTATTAATAATAGAACATGATACCACTTTACTTTGTGGGGACCACTTGTGTCATGAATATGTTTTTTTTCTCTTCTTATGGCTATCCCTAGACCGGAGGAGTGAGGATTGTGCTAACTGATAATTAGCTTCCAGCTAATGTAAAACACCATTTTGACCTAACCTTAGCTGGACAGGGTTTGAACAATGATATCGAACTATAGATATCTTTTCCCTAGTTTCGGTTAGGACCTACTTGGAGTCTTTTCTTGACAAGATAATCATAATTTCAGTGGTCATTGAAGTCTGGATTATTGTTTTTAACATCAGTTACAGCGGCCTTTATCTATTGATTGAAAAGCCTGTTTAGTGTATGAATGCTTCTTGGAACAATCTCTCTCTCTCTCTCTCTCTCTCTCTCTCTCTCTATATATATATATATATATATATATATTTGGAAGGTAACAATTTCTCTATTCTGAACATGTAGGAATGTGGTCCTCGTTTTACGCTGAAGTTGAGCAGTCTGCAGCATGGAACATTTGATACAAAGAGTGGGGAGTACGAGTGGGTTCACAAGGTATTATATTAATTAGCCAAATTTGTTTATATGTTATTTGTGCACCTTTTTTTTTTTTTTACTTCTTCGCGACCATAAGATCTCTTCATCATCTAACTAATCTATTGTTTGCCCCCCCCCCCCCCCCCCCCCCCCCCTGAATGCTAGCCGGAAATGGACACTAGCCGCCGGAGATTTTTCTTGTGAAGTGCTATGGAATCTTGCTCTAGAAGCCTTTTTAAGGCGAGGATAAGAGTTGCCGTGCTGTAACCAGGAATAAGCTTAGGAATTTGTACCATCTGCCATTATTGATGTGCTACACTACCCTTAGCTTCTAAATTTTTTGTGGTGCAATTTTTTATTACCTTTTGAGCAACTTCACATTGAATAGAAAAAACTGTAATTTATGCAAACACATATGCTTCTTCCCTTTATTATATTTTTCTTTCATGTTTGTGATGCATCTTATTCCATCTTATTTTTCGGACCTTGAATGCCACTGCCACTGTGTAAGCTGAGTGCATGCTTTTTTGAGTACATGAAGGCAAATCAACACTAGGGAAGCTGCAAATGCAGCATCACGTGACAGAGATCTTTCAGGAGGAGAATTCACTATTAGATGTACAGAGTCCATAGTTATTAAGATCCAACCTAAATTTTCCAATATGGACTTGATTATTAGGGTTTTTCCTCTGTTCTCAGAGGATATCCTGTATATAATCCTTAAACAAAGAGTACCCGCGACCAGAAGTGTTGCTAGTGACCACCCCCTATAGGAAAACTTTCCTCCCACAACCAGGGCTTCTTTCCGACACACGCAAGATGTACACTCACCAGAGAAGGTTGATGACACTAGGGCATCAAAACCTGTATAGTAAGGCAATATAGTTGAATCCAGGTACAGGCTTGCATGAAAAATTCCAGAGACTGTTGATGCCTTGAAGAATGCGTACTTGACATCCCCGTCAGCTTCGCTGTCAAATGCAAGAGCTGAGATTTGAATCAATTGGAGGATGGCAGGGCCGATGCATGAAAGGGGAAACACTGTGTTGATCCGGCGGCCCTTGGCAATGGCCATGACGAATATTGGGAGGGAAACTGGACCAGATGGTAGCAAGTATCTTCTTAGTTGGCCAAGATGAGTTTGCCGGCTTCTGCCATATATCTCCATGACCATCAACAATAGGGTTGCCAGGTATGAAGCTGTGGTAAAGAAAACTAATAGAACATCCACAGCGGGCGGATAATTCCCTGGGTAAGTGCTGTCGCAGAAGTAATGATAAGGGCAGTTAATTGGATCCATGGTCTCTTCGATTTGCCATCTGGTACATTTGAAGAATGTTGTGCGGATGTCTTCCAGGACCCATTCGTGTTGATAAGTTGGATCTTCTGGGCGTAAGAGTTGCATACTCAATATGCTGGTTGTTTGGCTTACCAACTCTTCTGCACCCACTCTTTCATAAATATATTGGAGAAGGTCCTGCTTTTCTGTCCAACAAAAAGATAATGGCAGTTGAGGGGTTACTTTAGATGTGGGTGAATTGATGAAGAAAAAGTAACCAATTACTGTTTTGAATTATGTTTTCTTTGTTCAAGATAGATCTTTTCTGCAGAGTAATGGATTGCTTGCTTATAAAATGGTCTTATTTTCATGTATTTTTATGCGAATGTCACCCGACTAGTACCAGATATTCATTGTCAGCCGCACGTTTTATTATTATTATCATTCAATAGGGGAATTGAGTGGATTTATATGGGGTTGAAAGTAGAAGATAAGTTCATATGGAATGAAGAGCAATGAGGTTTGATGTGGCAGCGGTAGGGGACCAATGTTGCAGGTGAGAGGGTGCCTTCAGTGAAGGAATGGAGGTTGAGGCAGCTTGACTTGCAAGCACTGCAGTTTGGTAAGTGATTGCAATTGGTTTGACGGTATAGGTTATGGGTCATTTATGTGATGCATTCGTGTGCTTGTGACAATAACATGTTAAAGATGTTTGTAGAAAATTTGACTTTATAATTTTCTTTATAAATATATGTCCGAAGATTCGGTGGCAGAAACTTGTTGGGTGAGGTTCAGTTCAGATCTCTTTGCATAGAATGCTGTATATGAATCAGTTTTTGTTCATTGGGAGCTTGAGGTTTGGTTTGGTTCTGGAGATGGTGCCAACAAATAGAGAGAAATTCAAACTCTGGCCTCAGGATGACTCCCCAAGCTTTAGGGGACAAAGTTCAGGTGGTACTTTTTATTCCAAAATATTCAAAAATTAGTACTCTTTTCCTACTAATCAATTTGAATAAAATTATGAAGTCTTACTTTTTTATAAATATTACCCATATTAATTTTGCATATTTCAAACTTCCATTTTTGCCCTTTATGGTTTATAGTATATATTTTCAATTTGTTGGTAGCTATAACCAATTTTAATTCTCTTTTGAGAATTTTTAATTTATTCTCTAAAATAGTAATATTATTTTAAATTGAGAAACATTCGCATACTTTTCTTATAAATCTAAGGGTTAAAATTTATTTATTGACCAAAAAGATTGCAATTGCTAAGAAAATTAGAACTCCTACTCAAACCCTACAAGTCTCAAATTCATCTTTGGAACTTTGAATTGAAGCGACGAAGGGCACAGTGGAAATTTAGGTGGCGCAACTCATACCGAGAGGGGGCTTGTATGCACTACAAATGACTATTTTGTCACTATAAAATTTTACATATTAGAGAGAAATACATGTGAAAGGGGCAACTATAGTCTAACATCAATCTTGGGTTAACAAGGAATTAACATTTCTAAGTTTATTATTACTATTATTATTATTATTAAAAATAAATTAAAAAATCCTTCTAAAGGAACTCGTTGCCCTCTAAAGTTGACAACAGAAACCAAATATTGATTTAATCTCCTCAGGTAGGGAATGAGTTCATTTGAAAGAGCTTTACCTGTGATAAAATGGAATCATTTTCTTTAACGTTACCCTGTCATTTAAAGAAAACATAATCAAGTGTACTCCAAGTGGTTTGGAGACCTTAAAGGTAAATCCAACAGATTCAAATTTCCTTTCTCAACATTTCCTGCTAAGAATTCAATTAACAACCTGAATCCAACTCACAACTACAAATTGGAGATGACTGCATGCTGCAAATTCCAGATTGTACAGAAGACATTCTTTACTGAAAGACAGTAGAACAATTCTACCTCTTTTTTTTATTAAAGCTCCATTCAGATGACTTGCTGTGCAACAAAAATTTCAAACTTCTAGTTTTGTGGGCATTCCCAGAAAAAAAAAAGAAAAGAAAAGAAAAGTGAAAGTAAGAAAGAAAGACAGAAAAGAAAAATAAATGCAGGTTAAAGAAATGAGGAGATGACTATACAAGAATTCGAAGCTTGATGACTTCAAGTGCCATTACATTTCCTGGTAAGAAGCTAACAGTGGATGGTCTTTATGATTTGATTTGCTTCTCCAAAAGTACTGACAAATATTAAATTGAATAATTCGTGCAGAGACCTCAAAAGCCAGTTTATCCATTCTTACAGACGAGGTATACTGCGCTGCTTGAACCGAGGGCAGGTGGTACATCATAGACAATTCTGTTCCCAAAAAATGACAAAAATCCCGATGTTCATCATATCACATTTGTATCACTCAAGCCCATAATTAATGTCAGTAGGGAAAAGAATTTAGTGAATTAAGTGAAAAGAATGCTTTTACGCATTTGGGAACAATATGTGTTGAATCATCTCCATGATCTTGGCAGATGATGCCGGGCACTTGTCTGGCAAAATAACTTAACAGCATATGCACAGAAGCAAGCACTCATGCACTTATTCATTGCTGAGTCGGTAATCACTGGTTCACAAGAAAAAACTGACGCTTATCAGTTGATTATAAAAACAAAAGCATGCATTTTATCCAGTAAACTATATACATCCACTCATTCTGCTATGTTCTACATAAACATATCAGTCCAGTAAAAGAACAGAGCTAGGCATTATCAAATCAATTTATGCATACATTCATAGGATCCTACACAATCACCGATTTACATCACATTAACATATAATCAGGAACACATTAATATTCTTTTACTCTTTCATGTAACGCTGGTATCTTAAAATTTTCATATTTTTCCATCTTATAATTATTGTCCTACAATTAACATTTAGAATAAAATGAGGACAATTTATGTAGGCAAGTGTTTGTACTTCTATTTATACATGGTCTGGAAGTGTCATTATCCATCAACCACAATATCTTAATTTCAACTAAATGCTAAAAGATGTTGCTTATAATGGCTCTTCAGTATTTTGCCCTCGAAACATTGGTGGTCTTGCAATTCACTTGTATGATCTTTTCAGTTCTCTAAAAGGTGACAAAAGTAGATTTCCCCTCCACTACCAACTACAAAGCCAGTTGCCATTTGTGAAAACTTTAGGAGGATAAACAGCCGAAGGCCTTCATCGCATATTAAACTGATCAACCAATTTCATGCAATCAACAACTGAGATATAAAGTATGACATAGCTCATCCACAGGATAACATGTGCAAAATCCATTATGTATGTGTACGCAATACATATAAATATATATAAAATGTGCAGAAAAGCTAAAAGCATATATCTTTGACGTAAGTTTATAATTTATGGAATTTCGTTGGTAACACCCGAGTCCTCAAAATTTTCAATACTACGTAAATGCCTAATAATATCAATGTAGTGGTGCCTTACCCAGTGCTAGTCCTGTCATTTCTGTATACCATCAATTTTTTTTCTGCACGAAGTGATGGTCCTTACTCGAGTTCTCACCCTTAATTACTCAAGCTTTTACAGTTGCACTAAACAAAAACTCGTCTTATAGATCCATTATAATCAATATCAATATTCTAGCTCAAGAACAATATTAACCAAACAAAAAAAGGAGGAAAGAAAAAAAATCTAGTATTCTTCGTTTAGAATCATACCAACAATTGTATAGTAAACATGAGATGATGTGACTTCTCCAAAATTAATAACATTTAATATAATTATAATTATCTAACTCAGAGGCGTAAAATAGCTAAAGAAAACCCAAAAGACATTGATTTAGTCCGATTTTAAAATAAGCATATGGAGAATGTACCACATGAAAACAATTTTGAAATGCGAACCAACTTGACTGACCTTAACCAATCATGGCAAATTGTCATGTTTACATACTAGAAAATTAACTCTACATTAAGAAAAAGAAAAAAATTTATTCAATTCCTTGAGTAATTTGTTAATGCTCTTGTCGCACTCCAAAATTCACTATTTCAGGTTTTTTTAGGAAAAAGTGTGTTTAAAAGGGGCTTAGTACGACAAGCAAAGTGAAGAAAGGGGCTTCATGAATCAGATGTAGTTGCCACTTAAACTGTAAGGTAATCCTTATTTTTAGAAAACTGTCTTCTGAAAATAATTTTTAAAAATAAGTTTGAAGGAGGCTTTTTTAGAAAATTAATCATGCAACTTGCCCTACTCAACCAAAGATTAAATGTTTGGGGGGCCAGTTATGCAAGAAAGGTGTAAGCTCCCATGAAACAGTTACCACATTCTTTTCAAGATTTCCTTGTATTATTAAAAATAAATAAGATTTCTAAATTGTCTCCATAATATGTAAATTATCCAAGTAAAAAGAAAAGAAGAGAAAGACTTTCAGTAAATGGTTTGAAGCATCATATGGGTGGCATCTTCTTCAAACATGATATTAGGAAATCTCATTGCTACTACTCAAACAAGCATGAAACATATGTTTTCTGCTGCTTGTTTTTTTTTTTTTTTTTTACTCCTTATGCTACAACAATCTTTTGTGCTCTCTCTCCCCCCACTACACCCATTGTCCAGGTGACAATCCACATGACATTACCAAGAAATTTCTATGAAACTCCAAGCATGTTAGTCCAGAGGTCAGTGTGCACATTGCCAGCACATCACCAATCTTACGGTTCTATCTTTGTTATCTCGCACCATGTACTCCACAGTAAAACCAACACTTTCTGCTTCGTGGTGGCACATCCCCAAGAGGTTTGTCTGTACACTTCCCTGACCATGTATACAGTTTCAACCAATTATCTCCAACTTGTTTTGTCCCATAAAACAAATTCAACTCAATGCACTACATCCTGATGCATCTTATGCATCGCTTGGGTCAAGAGCAGGACCTAGGAAGCTCCTGAGCTTGGTGGGCGGCTACGGATGAATGCCCTCAAGGTTCTGCCATGGTCCACTTGAGATACTAGGGGTACTTGATTTGTTGACTGAAATCTAGGTGTTCGTCAAGGTCGTCCTCGTAGTACACCATGATTTAGCTTGAAGATAGAAATCATGTGACCATGTGACTTACAACAGCATATGCCCTAACATGGCAGCGTCTAATAACATGTGGTGGCACATCATTAGAACACATCGATATTGCATTATGGATGTTGACATCACCCTAGAGTTGCATTGCAGCAGGGTAAATTTTTTTATTATTATTTTTTTAATTAATTTTTTATATGATCAGGCAAGTACTCATACACACTTTTTGCCCACGCCCAGGCACAAACCCCTCCCCCCTTTGAGGATGGGGAGGTTATACCATTGGGCAAGAGGCCCTGTGGTGGCACAGGGTACGATTTTAATCCATATTTAAAGGATGCCAATAACATGTACACGGACTCTCATCCCTTTTAAAAAGAGATCAACTAAAAGAGCAAGGATGGCCTTGGGATTCCTGGTCTTATGCCACTTCCATTCTCTCTTTCATGAGATAACCTAAACTATATCTTAAACAATTGGGATTTTTTAGTCTTTCTATTCTTGATACTTTTGGGGTAATCTTGAAATGCTTTGCGGATCTATCCATATAGGGAGAGTCTAGTTTGTGTCTCCTGTATACAGCATGTGATCCAGAGATTCCCAAATAGTTATAATCTTTATTTGAAGAAAAAAAAAAAAACCTTGGCACTTTTAAAGTAATGTTTACTCTACATATTGAGAATGTATAAGTTACTCCGAGCGTGAGGTTAACGGTATTTTTATGCAAAATAAACACAATTTGAACAGAAGCACATACCTAACAAGAGAAACAATTTTCTATTAATCTAATATGGGTTCCAAACCTAAAAGGAGCGCAATTCTACATTTTGGGTGGCTATAATAGCTCCCCTATCAAATACTCTGTATTTCTAACTTATTTTATTAAAAGAACACACAAAAAAGCCGAGAGTTGTGTCCTACATGGACGTGTATTTTGGACCAAATAACACATGATATCTCAATTCTTTTTCAGTAATAAATTCCAAGTAGTTAAAACACTTGTTACACTTTTTCTAACAATTATACAATTGATAGTAACTCAGAAATGCTGAATTTTAATATTCAGATGTATCATCAGGAATATTTGAGAAGTTTAGGATGCGTGTTTGAAATAAATAAAAATATATATATTTTAAAAATTATGGATATGTTCAGGAATATCAAATATGTATCCTGCAGTATCCAAAGAGTCAATATTTGATAACTATATCGACAAAACTCTCTTATAGAAGTTACCATGCTTATGGGGAACATCGGGAGACGCATCCCTTGTTTGCAACATTTGAATTTTAAATTTTTGCTACCAATTAATGGTAGGTGGGTACTAAGCTAATAGCCATGCACTATGAATGAGGTGTAACTCTGGTTGTGAAGAAGAAATTGTAAATGTACAATAAATAGTATATTTAGAATCTTGTAACAGTTTAGGGTTGGAGTGGCTTTTGTGACTTACAACACTACAAGTTCAAATTTCTTCTTTCTTGTGACTTCTCAGTAATCCAATGGTTTGCAAGAGAAGGGAAGAGGATGAACTCAATCATCTCTCTTGGTGTGGCATGACTCATTATTAAAATTAATGTGGCACCTGGCCAGTGCTGATGTTACTAGCTGCGTATAAAGGCACCCCTGAAATAGGTAATGGAATTTTGTAGATAAAGTGGCTTCAGTGTAAAATGCTGCAACATTTCAGTCGCAGGAGCGGTAGAGACAGTTAACCTCCTGCAGTTCCCATTCTGCTGAATTGATTTTTAAATATCCTTTTATAAGAGAAAAATCTCTCACTCCAAAAGGCCTTAAAATAAGATGGAAAATATGTGCAAGTTGGTCAAAGTTCGCTAGTGAAAACAATATCTGATGAAGTTTGTATACGACTAAATGTACAACTCAAGTGTAAGAAAGTTATGTGACATTCAACCGTAATATGTGGTTCAGAACACAATTAACGGTCCCATCTCTCTCCACCTCTGCCTCTACAAGAACTTAAAAATTCATCTTATAGTTTCGAAAGCATTATTTACAATAGCAATTCAAAAGAACTAATAGAAGAATTAGCTATTTTTGACCCAATTACCCCCTCTAAGAGGAGAGCTTTTCCCCAGTCTATTGCAACTAAACAGTCCCCCCTAACTAGAATAAATTAGACAGCCAAAAATGTTACAGGAAAATGAACATCCCATTGACAAAGTGTTGCAGGGTTTACACTCTAAATTAATAGATATTTTAGCTATCACCCACAGAAGGTGGAATTAGTTTGCCACCTGTAATTCTCATTTCAAAATAAAGTCATATCCAAATAAAGAAGAATTTAGACATGATTGAAAATTGAAATAGAAAAGAAGAACTCTAACTTAAGGTTGGTCCGCATGTCTTGGTTGACAACTCTTAACTTACGTTAAGTTTAATCCATATCATTGGTGAAAGTAGCATGCATAGTATTAAGCATCACTAATAACAAAAAAAAATGTGACAATTATTATAGGACAAGATTGTAGAAAAATGATGCATAATTATTACTTGGTACTTTCTCAAATCTGTGAAAACCCATATTTCTGACCTTTCAAAGCCACTGTGTTTGATGACAGAACAAACATATCAATGATGAAAAGCACTGAAAGCGGAAACTCCCACACCTGTAAATTGCACACCCAAAGTTAAAGGGTACAGTAGGTTCCAAAGATATTATAGACTACACTCAGAAAATGATATATAAAAGGAATGAAAAATGTAACTTATTATCTACTATTACACTAGCTAGGAGCATAGAATTGATGGTCAATTGACAACAAGAAACCTTACCATCATGGCAATAAGAAAGATCTTGAAGTAACTTGAAATGAATATTGTAAACAAAATGTCCTTGTACCTGCTTAGAAAATAGTAGTAGAATGACACAGATTAATAAAGTTACTGTTATTAATTAGAAAAGGCCAAAGAACATATAGAAAACACAAATCTTCTCAATAAAGGTCTATCCAACTACTTAAGGTCTGATACATGAATTTTGTTTGCCAAATCGCTATTTTTAAGGCCATATTTCAAGATAGGTCATAGACCATGTCTTTTCTCACCAATAAAGTTTACACTCTAGGATTTCTTCGTACGGCTCATAACCCACAACTAAACTGATTAACTCTTTGTGCTCCAATTCTTCATTCTAGAATGCACATGTTCAAAGCATCTGAACTGATTCTCTCATTTTTCCCTGATTACAAGTGCTGATTTCTCATGGATGCATCTCTCTTTGGCAATCATATCTCTGTGCTACAACCCACATTCTATTCAGGCTTACCTGTTGTCCTCCTGGCACTTTCTAATGTCCAAGCCAATGGTGATTGAGAACTTTCTTATACTAATATAATGACTTAAGGATTAGGAGTTGTTAATAATCATGTACCAGAAAAAAGGGTTGTTAATCACTTGACTGATATATGGTCCTCATTAGATGCTTTGGGACTATTGAACAAATCATCTAGTAAGGTCATCCATTCCTGGTCTTGTTGGTGTAGAATTTCTTCATGTAGTCTTAAAATGTATCCTCTGAGCACCAAAAAAAATTTCAAAAGCTGCATTCCGATCTTATGGCAACATCCTCTTTAATTTCCCCCAATATAAAAAGGGATCCACGATTAAAAAAGGAAAAAGGTGTGTGTGGTGGGGGGGGAATGATTTCTTGACCATCAATTCTTTATTTCCCCTAGTCTACTACTTAACTTACAATAAGGTAGACACAGCGAAAAGGGAGGGCGTGCACTGTTTTCAAGGTAATCCTAGTTCTAGCAATTTTGTTGAATAACAAAATCATCTAAAATTACACCCTTGTTAAACAAAACACAAGTTATGGGCTTGGACCCAAACAAACAAAATCATGCTCAATTCCAAGACTACTTCTAGTGGAGGACATACTAGGTTTAATGTTACAGCTACACGATGATTGAAGAATCTAAATATTTACTTGAAATTTTAGATTTTGTGCAAAAATTGTTTTTTCAACATATCATCTTCACTGTAAGTTCTTGAGGGCTTGACTCAATGATGTATAATGATTCTCCTCACCAAGAAACCACCTTATCAAAATTGCAAGCTTGAAAGAAGAAGAAAAATGGTTCAAAATTAACTGAAACATTTACCGAGAGACTCCAGCAGATTCATCCAGAAAAAATCTCGTCATGAGCAGTAACGTACAAAGGAAGACGAAATTTCCAAATAAGAGATCCATCAACATCTACAATTAAGATTGGTAAGCTCATTTCATCAAGCACAATAAAAAATCCAATCCATCATAAAAAAAATTATAAATTACTTATAATTAAAAAAAAAAAAAAAAAAGTAAAACCTTTCCACATCTTGAAACTAAAGAAGGAAGGCTTACGGATAACCCCCATTCCTCTTCACTCCTATTTAAGAGCAGAATCCTGTCTGAGAATGCTAAGGTTCACCATAAATTGGATAATAAAATTGAAAGGATATTGAAAGATCTTAATGTTTAAAAAAATCGTCATCTTTAGATTTTAATGAAATGGATACAAGCATCCAGAAGAAGAAAACCCAGAGCCAATTTCCAGAACAAGCACTGCATTGTCAACAGAAACAACCATATGCTCTTGTTAAAGTTAAAAATATCTGCAAATGAACACAATTGCGATGCAAGTGTTGTACAAGAAGGTTAACCTGAATAATTATCAAATGAATAACCATAGACTATAATCAAACTACCTCAACACTGGAACAAAGGATTGAAATTGATGGAAATCTCATAAGCAGTGAAAACTCTCTCGATCAATAAGAGTCGCATCAAGGATGCCAAGTTTTTGAAGACAAATAATAGGGCAACTAAGAATAAACTTAGACAGTTACACTATAATATAGTGGTACTCACACAGAGAGGAACTTCTGCAGCATATCAAAATCCATGAAAAAGAAAATTCAAAAGAAAAAGCTAAAGCAAATTCATTTATACCTCAAGATTTGCCGCTTGTAGATGGATCATATTATAGAGTAGATGTCTATATGCTTTTGGCTTGTGCAGAATCAAATCAATTAGAAGAATCTACACCAGACATATACAATATTGGAATTAAACAGCAGAAGAGTAGATTGCATTCCAAATATAGAAATCTGAGATACAAGGCTAAAGTAATAAATAAATAAATAAAAATAGAAAGAGAGAAGAATAAATGCTTGCTTTTGTAGGATTATAATTAGTAATTGTATATAGTTTACCATGATTTCGCATTCAATGTACTCATCAGCAACTGCTCTGCAATTGTCCTACCAGTATCAAAGAATACAATTTTGATACGAGAAATTTAAACATGAAGCAGAAATAAATAATAAAAAAATTAAAATAAAATAAATAGAAAATGGAAAGAGAGAGAGAGAAAAGAGTGATTACACATTTCATGAGACGGATGTTTCCAGGTGAATATTGCACGAATAATTCCTTATTAATCCGATATCCGCACTCCACGCATCGGAAATCCATCTCCTCCTGCTTCTCCTCCTCCTCCTCTTCTTCTTCTTCGTCTTCTTCTTATTCTTCTTCTCTCTCTCTCTACACACAAATATGTTGTGTGTATATAATGTAAAACCCTAACAAAATTTTGAAGTCGAATTCACAAAACACAGTCCGAAAATAATCGCATTTTAAAAAATCAACCTTTCTTTCTTGCTTTTTTCTCCGTCAATTTTGTTGATCAAAACACCATTGAAGTTTGAATTGCTCTCTTTTAAACCAATTATGATAAATCCATATATATAAGAGCTAGTGTATTTAGTAAAATTAAAATCCAAGCTGAATAGAAAAACAAGAAGCAAAACAACTGCAGAGTACAAAACATCTAATGGGAAAAAATGCATATGAATAATGTATATGTATGTGGGTGTAAACTCGATTGCAGTCTATGACTCTATGAAGGCAATCGAGTGTGTTGTGGGTGGTCTAACTGTGAAGGAACTTGTAACTTTGTTGGGCTTTGCTCTACGTTTTTCTTTCATTGATAACTTCAGTGAGTTGAACGGCCCAAACCAAAAGGATCCAACCCCCATCGTTCTAACAGACAATTACTTCTTTCTCTCTCACCTTTTTTCGTTAAAAATACTAAATACTTTTCTGCAATGCAAGAATTTAAGTTTGGAATTTTAAATTGCTGTAATATTAAGTATTACATTGGAATTATTTGGATTAGGGTTTTGGACTTTAATTGTTGGACTTGTACTTAGGTTCTGCCAATCTAATTAGACGGTGGCCTGGAATTAATTGAAGAAATAAATGTATATTTTCTGTCAATTGTTGAAATACTAAATACTTTTCTGCAATGCAAGAATTTAAGCTTGGAATTTTAAATTGCTGTAATATTAAGCATTACACTGCAATTATTTGGATTAGGGTTTGGACTTTAATTGTTGGACTTGTACTTAGGTTCTGCCAATCTAATTAGACGGTGGCCTGAAATTAATTGAAGTAAATGTATATTTTCTGTCAATTACCTGGATGGATGCTGGAATTTAACTTGACGAATTTGTAAACTTTGTCTCGTTCAATTACATGGATGGATTTTGGATTTTTAGTTGATGACTTGTTTAAATTCTGTATTTATCAACTATATGGATACTGTGGACTTTATTTGATGTACTGCCTAAATGTTGCATCATTTACGGATCATTTGCATGTATGCACCGGTATGGGACGGTGTCATACGGAGGGATGGATTAGGTCACAACGCTAATTCCTACCCATTCATACATACGGAATGGATTAACTAAAACAGTTAAATCCTACATGGTTTCATGTCCTGTCAACTAACACAGTTGAATGACATACTGAATGATTGTTTATATTTCTGTATTAGGAAAGATAGGGTTTTAACTAAAACGTTTAAATCCTAATTTTATGTCGTGTCATGACAATGAACAGTTGAGCAGCACTACATTGGTTTGGATGAGAATTTATATATATAAATTATGGTACCGCGATCTGAGCTTGAGTCTCATAGTCGACGGTTAGGGTGCGTATATGCAGTAGGATGCGTAGCTAGCTATGTTGATTGAGATATACCCTGTTAGGCTTAGGTAGTCATGCCCACTCATGTGCGTATTACATGTTGCCTTCTCTTCAGGTTGAGACCCTCAGAATAGTTTAGTGAGAGTCCTGTAGTGTGGTTATATATATATATATATATATCTAATTGCGGACTATATAGATATGGTTGAGACATCTAGGATGTATCTGCGTATCGGGTCTCTGTTTGGATTGTAGTTAGGATAGAACTTGTTCGTGGGCCTGACCCACTATTATATTTCAGGTAACGGACGATGCCAGGTCTTAGATCTTGTTCGTGCTGAGCAGAGACAACTTCTCATTCTTCCAACGACATAGGCGGTTCCTGTATGATTTAGCATTGGATTCTTTTCCTGTGTTTCATTTCTCAGTGATGATTTTATTAGGGGTCCACCAGATGGATTCCCCAGTTGTATTAGAAATGGAGAATTTGGATGTATCAGAATAATTCTTTATTAATTTAATTTTATTCTGAGGTTTTAGTATTTTGTTTATCATTCTAGTTTCTTTTCAGCAAATTTTTATTTATTCCTGTTTCCTTAATTGTATTCTGTGTTCGTTTATTGCTAATTGGTTTGATATCCTCGGGTAATCGGGCGTGGGCCTGGCCAACCCGCATTCGGAAATCCGGGGGTATCACAGCTGGTATCAGAGCACTCCAGGTTCTAGTGTCCTTAGGAGTGTTTTCGTTATAAGACTTCCGCGTTGCGTCTCTTAAAACTTAGAGCCATGTTAGGATTCGTTATACTCTATTTGCAGTTCGTTAGGAGGAGTTGATGTCAATTGAATTCTGTAGAAACATAATGGTTTGCACTAGGAGGAGGATGGGAGCGAAAGCGATACGGACCCAACGGCGTAAAGGAGTACGTTGTCGAGTTCTTTGGCAGAAGCAGAACTTGGGATTGAAGGTAGTTTCGAGGTTGGCATTACTTGGAAAGTATACGCCAAGAACAGATTAAGGTGTAGGTATTAGGTCACCACATAACGGGGCCAACACAACTTCAATTGTTCTCAAAAAGGAGGTAAGCGAAGAGTAGGATTCTGAAGAGGATCCTAAAGGAGAAGATATCAATACAAAATAACAAATTTAACTTTATTATTTAATTTTAAATTAAAAATTACTTTTAAAATTATAAAAATACCCTTTAAAATTACAAATATATATTATGTTTTACGAGTTTTAGAAGGGTGAAGAAAAAGATTAAAGGGTATTTTTGTAATTTTAAAAAATAATTTTTTATTTAACATTAAATAGTAAGGTTGAATTTTTCATTTCATAACCCGGTTAATGGTCGGACACTGATCAAAATTTGAAAGTAGTGGGGCTTTTGTGATTTTAACCCTAATATATATAGGGAAGTAAAAACAATTCGCTCACGTACCTGGCCTCCATGTAGTTGGAACCAGACCTCCTTGGGTGTGGTACTGTTGGGTTACTGTTTGGTTGATATTTTTTTATCAAAGAAAAATGATGAGTTCGAATAAATAATGTATGTCATTTTATTCTTTTTATTATCATCACTCGAATAATTAAAATTAAAATAGATGAATATGTAACATAAATCAATTTTTGTGATACACAAAAATCTCACACTTCAACTTGGTAGAGAGCTCACAAGTCGGCATTCAAATTAAGACGACCTAGAACAAGTTTTTATGCCAAAGATGTTCCCTATTAGTGGTGGTTTACCATATACTATTGATCAGTTTATAATTTCAATGTATAATGGAGTTGGAATGACAAATACATGTAAAGTTGAGTATTTGTTTTATTTTTATAAGAAAATCGTCAAAAAAATTTCAGAACCTTATTTGTCCATGATATTAAATTCGTCTTATTTATAATTTGGACTTTTGTCAAGGAAAATAAATAAATAAAAGAGCTCTCTCTTTGTTAAGAAAAGATTACATAGTAGCAGAAAGAAAGATTTGAAGAAACGGATATAAAATATATGTTATATATAACTATATATATATATACATATATATTTTTTCATTGCCTCATAGCTAAGGATCTTAATTTGATACTCTCAATTCATTGGTACGTGACATAGTCGTGGACCTCGTGGTCCATGATGCAGGTTGTGCACGCTTTCTGAATACAGTAAAAAAAATCCATAAAAGAATTGTCCTAATTAACATAGCAAAGTGAAGAAAGATTAACTTTGATTTCTATGTATCTTGTATATGTAGCTTCTTTATTATCCTCTATTATTCCTATGACCCTAATCTATAATCTCATTTTAAGTTGGTGTGTATATATATATATATATATATATATATATATATATATATATATATTCTGTGCCTTATACATGTAGTTTCCTTATTATAGTATTGCCTAGATTTTATAGAGGAGAATTTGCATGTGTTAGTCACAGTGCAGAGGTTATCTAGGAGTGATATTAAATCAACCAATATTGGGCGACGTTTTAAAGATTATATAGACACATTATATCCTTAACATTTTATATACTTTATTTATTAATTGGTTTAATTATTTTTGACAAATAAACTTGTAAAAAAAAAACTCTACCAACAATAAGAATGAAGATACAAAATTTTACGAGATAAACATACTAAACACACAATATGCTAGACTTAGAAAGCCCTCGTATTCTCAATTTCTTTGAAGTTTACAAGATTCTTTCATGATTGGCTTTACTTGGCTCAGAGAAAATTATATATGCTTATGCTATTTTATAATTGATGGTTATTTGATGTATAACAAATAAGCTTAACTCTCAAAAATCTAGAGATCGAACTATAACAATTATTAAAACTAAGAGAATTAATTACATACAAATGTAAATAAATAAAATTAAAAGTGCCTCTCCTTCCTCCACCTTTCCCATCCTTTCAATATTGGCATTGCAGATCACACTCACTCTCTTTGATTAGAGTTATACGACTCTTTCTACACAAACATTGAGACGAATTAAGATGCTTAGCTTCTGTGTCCACACACTCTAAAAACCCTAACTCAAGCTAGATTCAATGAAGCACATAAACACTCTCTCTCACCGATCTCTTTGACAATTCTGAATTAACACAACATTTGAAGTGAATTCAAGCACATCATTACCTCATGAAGAGAAACAAACTTATGGCTTGACAATTGGCTCTCATGTGGTCCCGTATTACATACTTTCATGAACCGATGTTATTCCGCGATTGCGATTGATATCACGAACCATGGTTGGAAATAGCCTATTTCGTATCTCTAGAACTTGAGACATGAAGTAGATCTTGGACCAAACCGTTGCCTCTTCCCAGAGATGGAAAAGATCATATTGTTTGGGCGCGCTGACAAGTACTGTTAAACCATTCCCTGCTAGAAATACTTATGAATCCTTCACAACTCACATAGAAAAATTGGAAATGGGATTCTGCCATCTGGTTCTCTGGCAGCAATATTGACACAATTTCATTTTATGGTTGGCGGCTAAGAATAAAATGCAAACTACAGATATTTTGAAGCCGAGTGGCATTCTATGTAGGAGGAACCTGAAAACATACAGCATCTGTTTTTTGGTTGCCAGTTTCAAACAATATATGGACTGATCTTTCAGCTAATGATGGTATTGAGTGGCAAAACAATGGCTATATGCTCTTCCAGTTGAAATTTAATGGATAGCAACTAATTTCAATAAATTAAAAAATGTTGGAAGGGACGTCAGAATCACAAATTTGCAATAATTGCACATGTACTGTGATGATCATTCTATGGTGCTGAAGGTGATGGTGAACATTAGATGTATTGAAGATTTCTAATGCAGCTGTATGGGAGTCACTTGAACTTTATTTTTTTAGTTCTTCTTATATACCATGGATGCACCTAGTTTCTATTAATCAAATAGCTTCTTTATCAAAAATAAAATTAAAAAAATATGAATTTGTGTGTGTACGCGTATGTCAAACAACTGTATTTGCTCTTCAGTATATGAGCAATGTCTTTAAAGAAAGTAAACCAATATGTACTTTTTTTTGTTTTTTTAATCATAACCAATATGTACTTGTGAGGGTTTTAGATAGAAAGAAAGAAAGGGAAAAAGAAAAAGTAAAAAAAAAAAAAAAAAAATTATGTAGAGTTATAAATGGCAAACCCTTCAAAAGAAAAAGAAATAAACACCACCTTCCATTTCATAAATGCATCTCTTCTATAGTTTTGGATTATATACACTAAAACGTACTAGACCATAAATTTTGCAACTAGATTGGAGACTATTTGCCTTCTCCAAAACCATAGTCAATCCTATAGACTTTCAGTATGTTCTTACTACAGTATTTATGACAATGGTAAGAAAATAAAAACTTAAATATAAAAACGCCAGCTCAATGCATGAGACTCCAATATATAATTTATATTAGAAGAAGAAATGATAATCACTAATAGTAGATATATATATATATATATTAAGCAAGACTACTTGAAATTTAGAATCATGTGCATGCATATATATACTATTGAATCACATGAAATACCACTTAAATGTTTGATTTGAGTATAATACTACTCAAAAAAGATGCCAAATTTGGAATGTTTTGAAGTATACACACAAAGCGTTAGCTTGTAAATCTCGAGTTCAGGGACCATTTTTTTCAGCAACAATGAAGATAAAAGATTATGCAAAACATGTATACATACATATGACTAGCTTGTCTACGCAGTATGATTGTTGACAAGAATCAAACTAAAGTTCTTATTTCTCAGTCCAAACTTTAACCATTGTACTAAACAAAAATAAGTAAGATAATATATACAATTAAGAGGAATTATATAAATGAATAAAAAAGCTACTAGTAATTAATGAGAACACAAAACAGAAACTACATATACCTTTTACAGCTATTTAGGGGTCAGTGCAGTACAGTACCTGTAAGCGTGCCGGACTAAGCAGTAGTAGCATCAACCTACTAAGCTACCACAATCAAAAGAAACTGTTAATGTTGTTCTTACCATTAACTAGGCATGGGTGTCAGTATGGGTGGGGAGAGAGAATATATTTGAGAAACAATGAATTAAACAAAGACCAACTAATTCAATAAAATTCTCCCATATATACACACAAGCTGAATGGAGTCTATGCCATATGGAAGTCCAACACTCATGAAAGTAAATATGACAGTGCAACCATTATGAGAGACGACTATATATGCCGATTTATCTCTCTCTCTCTCTCTCTCTCTAGATATATATATATATATACCTGCATGCATATCATCAAGGCATCAACATATGCATATATAGTGTATATACGCAATTTAAAGATATCAACTCAATATGTTGGTACTCTTTTCTCATCTCCCCACTCTTAAAACCTCAGCCAAAAACTCAGATAGCAATTGCAATCTTAAATATATATATATATATATACAAAACCCAATTCAAATTCAGTATCCATGGTAATGAGATGTGAAATGATGGATCAGATGGATTTGCTTTATAGCTTAAGCATATAAGAGACAGCTATAAATTAATACAAAATCAAGCTTAATTTAAAAACAACTCACCATCCTATATATTCACTTGCGCCTTCCAAGGCAAAATACACTCAAAAGGTATAAAACCAAAGGACAAGAAGTAGTCTTCCCCGGCCATCTTTGAATCTCCGGTGCAAGCGGTCGGCATTGGGACTCACCCATAGGGCGTTAACCGGAAGGAGGTAGAAGTGAATAAGAGGAGGGAGGATGAGGAGAAAGTGAATTCATAGTAACATAGGGTTTGGATTCGTGATCTGGTATAGGGCACTCCATATTTACTCCGAAAAGCCTTAAACGCTTTGATGCACCTGGAGTACTACTTTTTCCGAGCACCGTCGCCGAGTTTGCCACCACTGGAACATCCCCAATTCGACGAGAAGCCGATGACCGTAGACCCGGGTTTACAGCGGTACTGTAGTCATGAGAACCACTACTATAATTCACTGTTTGATGATGAAAATAAGGCTGAACATGATAGGGCATGGACATAAATGGAGGGAACAATCTGCCCAATTGGAGAGACTGCGGAGGTGAGAGGTAGGCCGGATCACGAGCATCGGGTCTGTGCCTACAGTCTATGAACAATTGGTGCTCGCCGGAATCCACCACGCCGCGTTCGAAAGACACGATGTCGCCGGACTCGAGCTTCTTCTCCTTGACAAAGCGGCTCCAGCCTTTGGTCATGACATAGCTCTGGCTGCTGTTCCAGTAAGAGTACCGGAACCGCCACGAGTTGCCGTTCCGGTCCTCGAAATTCAAGAGGAGGCCCTTCTCGTTGACGGAAGAGTTGAGTGGGAAGTACTTCTCAGCGTGCTGTTTTGGTATCACTAGGCGGTTCAGCTTGCCCACATCACTTGGCGTCACAATTTTATGAAACATGTGTTCTCTCTCCTTAAACTCGCCGCCGCCGCCGCCGCCACCGCCACTGCCTCCGCTGCCACCACCACCACCACCGTTAGTTGTCGGTGTCAAGTACTCTATGAGCTCTGGCTTCTTGGTAAAGTTGGTACTACCTTGGATCTCTAATACCGTGTGAGCTTGGTGATAATTTCGAATTGAATCTTTTTCAAAAGTGGTTGTTCCTAAAGAAGAAAATTGGAAATTGGTTGTATCATTGATGATCTCTTCCTCTTCTTCTTCTTCGTTTTTGTGAAACCCTTCTTTTTCTGCCACAAATTCCATGATGACCCAACAGTACTGCCAATCTTTTTATCGATCTTTATGGTCTTCTTTTGATCAGAATAGCTAGATCTTAGAAAATAAAACCCAAAATGATTGAAGAACAAGAAGTGAGTGGTGGTTCTGATCAGAACTTTGTACCTATATATATCTCTTTCTGATCAACTTGGTATTGATATGTGAGGTGGTGGTAAAGGAGCAAATTCGGTCGGCGCCTTCTTATTTGACCCTGGAATTTCGGTACCCGGGCAAAGAAGACAAGTCCATGGACGACTAAATGACCCCGAATTCTTCTTCTTGTTGACCCATCACTGAACTAACTATATGGGTGATTGGGGGTGCTTGTGTGTGTATGTAAATGTGTGTGCGGGTATGTGTGTGAGAGAGAGAAGGTTTGGAGGGTGGTTTTGATGAATAATGTGGTTAGGGAGTCATGTGAGCGTGTCCCTTTCATCATATTGAACATATCCCACTCATTCTGTGCGCTAAGACCTAACTAGCCAGTTGTTCTGTACGCTAGAGAGAGAGGATAAGCCTGTACGCGATGAATTTGTCTCCAAGATACCTACTAACATTCTTCATATATTTGTATATGTATGTTACGTATGCGTGTGTATATATATATTCCCTCACTATATATCTCTTAATTCTTTCTTTTTTTTTTCTATAAAAATAAAATAAAACCACTAATTAATGCTAGTTTAACATGTTTCGACTTTGGTGTGTTGTTGGTTGATTTAATAGTGGTTTGGTGGTGTGAAAGAGAAGATAATGAAAGAGGGTTTTACCTGGAGTCGGCTCTCCTAGTGGGAAAAGATTCCTTTAATTAGTTCTACAACAACAGACTAAAGTCACTAAACCCTCATTAATTGTGTGGTTCTCAGCTATATGTACTATATAGAAGCGATAGGGATTTAAAAGTACGCACAGATAACCATGAAAAAATTACTTCAATATTTTTGTAATTTGGATGATAGCTTGTCAATGACCCATTAAATGCTAGCAAGTACAAGTTATTGATATAATCCGCTATATATATTTAATTACTACGTATATAATATAAGACATAATCATTTGATAAAACTAATTACATAACAAACACGGTAATAACTCTAAAATATTACTACAAGGGAGCTTGATATAGCATTTGAATGGATCAAAATGCTGCTGCTATTACTGAGTGATAATAGAGAGGGCGTAGGAAGCACATAGCTACAATCCTTTTTGCATCCATAGCTGAGAAATATGGTATATTCTGACCGGTGGGTAACATAATATCATATATTCCAAAGTACTCATTTAACTAATAAAGTTTGTCAAACCAAACCATCCGACTTTGTGTGAGACAGATTACAATAATACTAACTAGTAAGCTTTATTTTCATCTTTCATGCACATTAATTCATCATCCATTTACTATATATATATATAGTAAATGGACATGTAGCCTTTTTCCCTATATATATATATATATATATATATATATATATATATAACTCTATTCTACTTTACTACCTACTTAATATCATTTGCATTTCTAGTAGCAAATTAAGATAAATAACCTTTTATTTAGGATCCATTTGTTTGGATGTAAAAAATTTTATTTTTTATTTTTGGGTGTTTAGTTATTATAAAATATTTACAAATATATATATATATATATATATATATATATATATATATATTAAAATTTAACAAAAATAATTTACTCATGAATTTTCGGCAAGTCACACATTGCCCGATAAACTCGACCTTAATTTCGACCTAAAATTTTGTCAAACACCAAAATATAAAAATTAAAAAATATATTTTTGTCAAAACAAATGGAGCCTAATATTGTATACTATTCGCATCAAATAAATAATGATAGTGTTCTTATAGTGAACCCATTCCAAATACTTAATTAGATTAAATAATTTGTAAATGCAAGCCTGGTTGGTTGATTAAATATGCCAGAATATTCATGTATTATTATTGATGTATAATGATTCATGTAGCTAATGTCTAATGCAAATATATATATAGTTGGATCCTAAAAACCGTCAAATTCAGTAGAGCTATGTCTAGTGAAATACTAATTACATAGGAAAAAGACACACATGAGCATATAGTAAGAAGTATGTATTTTTTACCTAGGATTTCTCAAAATATTTCACTAATTCACATCAAAATTCAGGCAGTGGCATGGGGTGGGGTGGAGAGTGCTCTTTAAAAGCTACGCCTATTAGAAGCCTATCTACGGCCCTTCTCTCTCTCCTCACATGAGATCATGAGAGGAGCTCACGCTCATCCATGAATTCAAGGCCATAATACTTAACATTCATGAACAACAAAATTATTTTTTATTATTATCTTTTTCTACTGCCACTTTTTTTTTCTTTTTCTTTTTCTTTTTTTTGGTAGAGTAGTTTTACCATTGTAACATTCATAAACAACAAAATAATTTTTTTTTTTTACTGCCACTTTTTTATTTTTTTGGGTAGAGTAGTTTTTAAAGGACGGATATGTATTTTGGATGTGTGTTTGTGTAATTATACATTTGATAATAAGAGGACAATTGTTTGTACGCACAATCCGGTATAGGTGGATATATAGGTAGAGGACCACACGGCAGAGAGAAGACTAGAGTCCAGTTGGCGGATATGCTGTGTTTCATAATTCCTGTGGTGGCTTTTTGTCCCCCTCTCTCTCTCTCTCTCTCCAAGGACATCTCAACCATCTCAACCATGCCACATTCATCCTCCACTTCACTTTTTTACTTGAGCTTTTACAGTTGATCATCTACTTTTCCAACCAACCAATATCATTATAAAATTATTTAGTACTGTGTAATTTTGATGCCTTGATTGTTAATTTATATCATGTCATTTGGGATGGTAATTGGGCTGCTTTTGGACTAATCATAAATGAACGAATCAATAGTAAGTCACCAACATATCTCAATAGTTCAAGTTCGTGTGTGTACAACATGTATAGTTGGGATGTGCTCGGTGTATGGTGCACCGACACACCAAATATCGATTTCAATTCGCAACTAGTGAAAGAGGGATATTAACGGGATAGGTAAAAATCAAAAGAGATTCGTATGGTCTACTGTAAATAAATTTTAATACACAATTTTGACTATATAACTCTCGTACAATACTCTTTCAATCGGTAAATTCACGTCTTAATATCTTATGCATGATCATTATAAATAAATGAGAAAAGTCATAAAAGTAGAATTTAGGGTAACATGCTTTACAATAAATTCCTTGTTTTGGAGTGAAAAAATTCACATGTGGGGATAATTTCAAGTGGAGTGGTAGTAGCCCTTTAACTTTAATAATGGTATACGCCTTATCTGACAAACCGTTGAGGCTCTGATCTCTAGTCTGGCTGTGGAGTCGCTTTCTTTGTCAAACTTGGAACATTTGTAGGGAACTGGAACTCTGAATGGACCGGACCACCCGCCATTTGATCATTTTGAAAATTTTATTACAACTTTTGTGAGACACAGATCAGAACAATAATCTTTCTTTTCTGTTTTTTTCTTCTGATTCACATGCACTTCTCATATTGTAACAAGTACAGCGTCTCTCAGTGTCCTCTCTATAAAATCGCAATTTTTTAAAAAAAAAGGAATTTGAACCCAATATGTTTTGTGCCAACTGCCAACTGTTATACCCTCTTAGAATTCAAAGTGCAAATATCTCTAAAAACTGGGTGAGAAATAGTTTCCCCAAAAATAAGCCCTTTTTTTTTTTTTTTTTTTGGTTAATTTCATCTACACTCACTCCCTGATGTTTGTCCATATTTCACTTATACTCTTTTAACGTTTCAATATTCCACCTATCCTGTGTAACTACGTTTACTTTGCTAACAGAACTTAGTGATTTTACAGTTTTGCCCATCACTTATATATGAATATCTATACATATATTGTTTATAAAATTTAAAGACCAAAATGCCCTTTCTATTTTCTCTCTCATATTCTCTCCAACGTGGACGTGCTTTTAATTAAAAATAAATAAATAACGCAGACATGCTTACCTCCGCAACTGCAGCCACCATCCCCCACCACCAGCACCACCAAAACTCCATAATAGACTGGTGACTTGGTGGGTATTGGATGAAAAAATACCCTCTTATTTTTTCGCATACTATTTATGTCTTCTTCTTCCATCATACTCTATATTTTTATGCTTTGTTGATTTCATTTTTTATGGCACTAATTCACCCCTACTTGCAGCCTATGCTTGTATTAAGTTTTCTTCTCTGAATCTATAGTGGTGTCTTCTAATTTATCAAGGTCTGTAATGTATGTACGCATTCACATGAAATTTTATTTTTTAGCCAAAAATGAGTTGTGATAGAGACTCTGAAAACAGACACATTCGGTTTTTTTATTTATTTATGTGAAGTGTTCAATTATTTATTTATTTATTTTTATGTAAGACTAGACTCAATTAACAAAAGACATTCCTAAATTCTTTAATCCAGGCCAAGAAGAGGCCTTTCTTTAATAACTTCTCAGATCTAGCGTAATGATGAAACAAAATCCCAAGTTAATGCTTAGTCCAACCACCATTTCACCTTGGTTTTCCCAGTTCTGGTGTTTTATATATATATATATATTTAAATTTCATTTTTATTTATAATAAAGCATCCTCATAACAACTGTAAAATTTGAAACAATATGCGATTGGGTTAAATCTTGAATTTTACATGTGCTTATGTCATTTCATGCATGAATTATGATAAATCCGTTCTACATATTAGTTTGAATGTCATTTATATAATACTGAATTAATTTTATTTTTCCCCATACGTTAAAATTAATTAAAGGAAAAAGGGATTATATATTAATATTTATTATACCCCGATTTGTACTTATTTTGAACTAATTTCTTTTTCCATATCAATTTTACCTACAAAAAGAGTGGCAAAGTGAGACTAAAGCATGCCAACATATATAATGAGATTTGCAGAGGTTCGTCAATATGAGGCACGGTTGCAGAGGGTGTTCTGGGTTCAGTGATATGAGGACACAGTTGTCCTTTTGAGTTTATAAATTAAGAGTAATTTTGTAAATTTGCATTGGACAGTGAGTTAAAAATGTCATTTCAAGTATTATAAGGGCAAAATTGACCTTGTACCAATTTGTTCATGCTGACACCGTCAGTTGGGGTATTTTGTTACATAGGCCAAAAGCTCAAGGGAGGTAGACGGAATATTGAAACGTAGAGGGAGGGTAACTGAACTATAGGCAAACGTCAGGGGGTGTAGATGAAATTAACCCCTTTTTTTTTTAATTAAGTTCTCAAAAACTATCAACCAAGTATTTTTTTGTACAATTTTCTAATTTTAGGTTCTCAAAAAACATAAAACCGAAGCAATATTGAGCATTCCTGACTACCTCTGATTGTGGCAATGCAGCATTGAGCTTCAACTTTAGTTAGGAGGGGTTACATGGAGAAAATGGCATAGTTAAAGAAGTAAATTCTAAATTGATCTTATAATAAACTTCAAATTCAAACATTAAAAGGTAACAAAAATTCCCTGGTAAACTCTTCCCACATAATTGTTTTAACCATACAACCAACAGTAATCATATAACTACCAAAAAGAAATAATTATTCAAAATTACCAAACAACAACAAATAAAAATAATAATAAATAAATAAGAAAATATGCAAAGGACTTTCAACTTCTGCTTTAATTGTCATTAGGAATGAGTACTGACTTATTGAGAAAATTGGAATATAGTTTGTGCTTCTCTGCCTATCGCCTCAAGGTGTGCATTATGTATTCAGCATAAAGGTCCCTGCACCATATCATTCCAGAAACCATGTTAGGGTTCAAAACCAATCTAACAAACAAACAACCAAGTAGTGACCTAGCAGTCTTAGAAAAATCCTGTTTTTTAATCGACTATGTTCATAATTTCCCATTTCTCTGGCAGGCTTATTTTCAAAGATATTTTGTAATAATATTTAATGTATATGTGTAGGGTTTGCTCCAAGGACATTTTATTTTTTCAGAGTAGACTTACATAGCATACTGGATGGCATCAGTGGCAGTACTAGAAGGTAAGAACTCATTAACGGCAACCGTTTTGTTCTCATTCTTCTTGTCTGTGCAATTAAGTTAAGGTACCACTATTTTCGATACTGCAACTAAACATCAAAAACTTAAAAATTTGAGATGGAAGTTCAATAAATAGAAGTAAAAGGATACAATCTTCGAAGAAGCGGCGGATCTCAGTAAGGCGATGAGGGGCAAGCTCTTTGATGTCAGTGTAGTGCCTGTACTCTGGATCATCAGCACAGACTGCAATAATCTTATCATCTTTCTCACCCTGTTCAAAACATGTAGTAGTTATGGCAGAGTGTGAACTAATGGAAAGAGACACAAAAGGCTCGATTTGCCTTAGATTTCAAAGAATACCTGATCAATCATTGGCATCAGTCCAATGGCTTTGGCTCGCAGAAAACAACCAGGAAGAACTGGCTCCTGTCCAATATGCCGATTGCGTTAGTATAGGCATTAGGCGCTTCTGTTGACATGAAGCTCAAACAAGCAGCAGACTTGAAGGACTGAAATGAAGCCAAATGCAAGGAGGCATATATATTTTGCCTCTTTTTTTTCCTTTTTTTATTTTTAAGATAGGACATGGTGACAGGTTGAGGACGTGGTAGTATGGGAATGATTGAAACTAATAAGTTGGCGGTAGCATATTAACTTAATTTGGAGAAAATCCAAGTAAAATTTAAGTCTGGGAAAAATTAGAAATGCAAGCTAAATAAAAATGAATGTTACTATCCTGTATCATTTGTAATAAGATGCTGGGGTCATTTATAGTTATACAGAATATAATGCGGTTCTCAAATTATTCAAGGATTTTATTGCTTCGGAATTGAAATATTTCAGAGCTTCTACATATGTGATAAGCAAGTGTTTCTGCAAGATGAATAAATTTGAAATAGTTTCATATCACCTGCATGAGGACTAAAACATCCATTGGGTCATTGTCTTCACATAGAGTGCGAGGAATGAAACCGTAGTTATGGGGGTAGACCACTGACGAATATAAGATCCGATCAACCTGGGCATTCGTTTAAACAGTAAGACAAGAAGCAGATTGAGAGGGATAATTAATGTAGTAGAAAGTTAAAATCAAAATACCAAGATCTCAAAGATGGAAGTCCTTTATTTGCAGTTCATGAAAAGGTTAAGTAAGCTAAGGGCCTAAGACTAGGTGGTACAATTTTCAAATCACAAATATAAGCAAAAAAACAGCTGCGGCTTTGTTTCGTGCCTTTTCCTTTGGAAAATGTTTTCATACCTTAATCAGTCCTGTCTTCTTGTCTAGTTCATATTTGACCTTACTTCCTTTTGTTATCTCAACAACCTGTGGCATATACATAAATATTTCTAACATCACCATGAGGAATAAACTTTCAGTAAAATAGCTTAACTTCCGCATCTATATCATGTAATAGTTGGAGTTTAATTGGACCGTTAGGACAGAGTGAACTCTTGAACAAGGTTGAGTTGGGAAAAGAAAAAAATGAATGATCTAAATCTTGATCAACTATGCCCTTTTCCATCTCCTTTCAATGAGGAAAATATATGGGAGTAACATGTACGGGTGGCTCAATGGTCAGGAATTACGGTGGGGCAAATTGTGAACTCCACGTCCTATATTCGACTCTCACAAGTTGTAAAAACACCTGAACTTAAGCAATGTATGTGGTTTACGGACAATTGCACACATTGGAGAACTACCCTGCTTGGAAGGGTTCCACATTATGTGTGTGTGTGTGTGTGTGGGTGGGTGTGTGTGGGAGTATACTTCTATGCACCAAGGTTTCATTTCGCATGATCCCATGGCATACTTGAATATCCCGAGGCCTCATTTTGTTAGGATTTTTTTTTTTTTTTTTTTTCTGCCTTAATGACTATATCTGCTTCATAAATTTAGCTTGAGAGTTGGAGGAAGACTTACACAGTTGAAGATGAGAGGTGCTTCGGGTCCTGCAGGACAGATTTTGCAACATTATTAGCATACTGAATCTATTTATATGCAAGTAATCTATTACAATAAAAGATCAGCATTAAGTGATACCAATCTCAAGATCGTGCCAAGGATGAGCGGCAACTGATCTCCTTGACAAAGTAGATAGGATCCTCTGATTGAGTTTGGGAGTTGGACGTTTTGAGTGAGATTCTTGGGCTTCGCTACCATTTGCATCCTCACTCATATTTGACCTGATAAAGAAGACAGATTATGCTACTTATTGAAGCTGCAAATCGTAAATGACAGATTTATTATTTTGTATTGTTCAGACCATGGTTGATGAATTAATAGCATAAACTGCAAAAGACCATAAATTTAAAATACTAAAGACGTTTTTTTCGAACTGAAATGCAAGTTCATATCAGGATCAGCAGATCAAGTTATAGTCATTGATTACTGGGCAGAACCCATTTAAGGTTGCACTTAATGCAATGAAAACATTTAAGGTTGTTGGATTTTATGGGTAATACTCAGCCATGGCTTTTCAGGAATTAACTCGAGCATTTGGTGGTATTCTGAACATGGAAGAGATAATGGACTCGTGTTCAATAATGTGAAATACAGAGTCCAAATTACCATTCAAGCTTCCAAGAACCCATCAGATTTGTTCATTTACATACCCAGAAATTTATTTATATTTTTTTCGGGAGGTTAAGCAAAAATAACCAGAAATTTAACGACAACATATACACACACACACATAAACAAACATGGTCAAATTAAAGCATGAAAAAAGGAAAAATAGATTAAACAGACATGTTATGTAAACGGAGAAACAAAAAGACATACCTGATATGGAAGAAAAACAAAATAAAGGAAGCTAAAATTGTCTGAGAAGGGAGGCAAATGAACAAGGAAAGAAGTAATGAACCTTGGTTTGTGTGAAGTTTGTGATTAGTATATATATAAATAGAGAGAGAGAGAGAGAGTCAATGACTCAATTTGCCTGGGCATTTTTCTCATCGTGGCTACAAATGAGAAAAGGTCGCTGTCCAGATCCAACTAATTCGCAATTAATTTTCAAACCCCTCATTTTGCAACATTATAGAGTAGAAAAATAAAAAAAATAAAAGTTGTTCACCTTCCCATATTTGCCCTCAATCGGCATCTGCACATAGAATAATATACCAAAATCTCCATATCTCGAGGAAAAAGTCATGATGTAGCATTGTGGGTTCCACGTACTGTGTGTGACTGTGTGTGTGTATTGGAAGACTTGTTCCCTCTGATAAGCGACTCAACCAACTTGCAGACTCATTCCAGCAGCTGCATTTGTTTCTAAGCGGACCAACTTTACACTTCACAGTTCCTCGTTAAGTTTGTCCATGTCTTTTCCAATCTCAAAGAAATGGGCAACGCATTCAATATATATATATATATTTTTTTTAAGTCATTGTTGGGTTATTCACCATGAAGTCATAGAAATATACCCAATCTCAAGATAATCTTTCTCGCCATTTGTATTGCAAAATTGGGGTAAACATGATGAGAATTGTTCATCGCCATACCCTCATGGAGATCTCAACATTGCACATGTTCATACAGGCATTTATTCTCGTACCTGTGACTGAGCACTTGTACTATGTTGGAGTTCCAGCAGTGCTGCTCAAGCATGCATGCATTTGATTATTGACACTATAAACAGATTAAAGATCCTACTTTCTACCAAATCACAAATCAACCTCATGGAACTTTGCCTTCAACTTGTTAGGAGGATTATTGAATATTATTGAAGAGAATAGCTACTCCAAACAATTTTTCGAACACTTCAATGAAGAATTCACAGCAGCTCAAGGACCCACAACACAAGCTTGTTTTTCTATATAAATATGTTCAAATTTTGAATAAAATTATTATACCTATCAACATAAGATCTAAGCAATGAGCATCCAATTTTTTTTTTTTTTTTTTTTTTTTCATTAACACTCCTTAGGTTTAGTCAAATATCAATTTCAAATATTTTTCGAAAATAACTATCATTTAGATCCATTTTTACTTTTCCGTCGTAGTCTCCGTTAAAAACATAAAAAAAAAATACAATTTTGTCCCTAATTTTTTAATCCCATTTATTCCTAAGTACCAAGTTACTTAAATGATCATTATACCCTCATTATTAAACCCACCTATCATCACTACCTGCATACCCACCAATACACGGATCCGACGAAAAGATAACATATATATATATATATATATATATATATATATATATATATATATATATACACACACTCCGTATAACATATATAATATATATACATAACATAAGAAACAATAAAGATATATAATATGATTGTAAATTTATAAAATATTTAGAGATATTTTAGTCTTTTTATCTAATTATTCAAGTTAAAGAATTGTTTTATCAAAGTCAAAGGATATTTAAGTCATTTTACATTATGTCGGAATGGTGCAAGTAACGGTTAGAGTGTGAGTGAAAAACGGAGTAAAAGTTTGTAATATGAGTGATATTTATTTTCGAAAGATGTTTGAAGGTAATATTTGACCAAACCTAGGGTATTAAGGAAACAAATATCAGCGAAGTAAATGCAAAGGCACAAATTAGTCTGAAAATAAGATAGAAGTTTGAAGAAAGAACATGTAAGCCTATATACATACATTTCTGGTGTACAATACATAGAGAAACGGTGGCTTTTCTATATCCAAAATTAATTGAGCCCCAGCCAGCAACCCTGTGAACGCAGGCATACACGCACACCCACAAGTATTTCTTTGCAGGGAAACGGACTCACAAATTTGGTTGATACATAGTTCAGGGGACGTGTATGGAGTCAGGAGACATAGATATCATCTGAAGGAGGCTTGAATTCGAAAATGTTTCCTTCAGTGCAGGTTCCCTCCCACTACCACCATCCACGTTCTCTTTTGTTATGTGCAGCAGCTTCCTTGCAACATCTACCATTCCAAGTTTGCCATCTCCGCCAAACAACAAGCACCTTGTGGCAAGGTCTGCAACTATCTCTATCTGCTCTCGGTGAAAGCGTGGCTGCTCATGATAATAAAGAAGTGGGTCCACAATCTCTTCTAGCTTTCCATTTCTAATCTTTTCCAAAGCAATTGTTGGCAGATCCAACTGTCTGGCACCTGCAATAATCTCCAAGAGTACCACTCCCAGGCCACAAACATCATTTCTACCAAAAGGAGAACCATCGGAGTTGTTAACTGAAAGAGGTCCATCTCCAATGCTGGTTGCCAGTAACCCAAACCCGGCAATTTTGATGGAAAAGTTTTCATCTAAGAAGATGCAACCAGATCGGAGATCATGGTGGAAAATAGGAGGAGAAATCTCATACTGTAGGAATGCAAGAAAGCTTGCTGTTTCAGTGGCAATGTTCAACCTCTTGTACCAGTCAAGACCAATTTTTTGTGCTTTGTTGTGATGCAAATGTTCCTCCAGGGTGCCATTTACAGGATACTCGTAGACCACCAGAGGAGTGTAGCCAGAGTCAATACAGCATCCAAGGAGACGGGCCATGCTCCTGTGTAGAACTGCAGATAAAAGCTCCACTCGAGATAAAACTTGAACGAGGTCTCTTTCACTCTCACAGTGTACCTTGTGCACAGCTACATGAGACCCATCCTCAAGAATTCCAGCATAGAACGTGCCCTTAGTGCCACCGACAAGTTTCTGGGCATCTTCAAACCCCTTGGTGGCTTCCTCTAGCTCATGGTAAGTAAACAATCGAGTTCTGGAAGCTTTACTAAACAAGATACTACTTTGAATGTGGGTTTGATCAAGGTCAAAATTACCTGATTTAATAGGCCGTCTCAACAGACAAAAAAGTGCAATCAAGGAGGCAATGGTGAAAGCTGAAGTAAGAACCCCTGTATGTGGAAAAATGTCATTTGGTGATTCTTGCAGCAACAAATAAAAAGATAACATTTGTGATTGAGATTGTCAAGTATCTGAACTTAGATGAAGTTGCTGAGATAACTGTATCCTACGTAAGTTATAAAGAAATTGCATTATTTCAGCCAATAAGGATAAAGCTTCAAAGTTTTTTCTTCTTTCTTTTTTCCTTTTTATTTTCTCTTTCCTTTTTTTTTCATCTTAATTTTTTGGTTGGGCTGGGTTTGGGTTTTGGTGAGGAACAGAGAATGAGAAAATGACCGTGAGCAGGAGAATTTCCCACTAAAGAAGAGAGAGAGAGAGAGAGAGGGTCTAAAAACATCTTTCTAGTTTTTCTTTGGTATATTCAGCATAATATAATTGGATATCTCAAATCTTTTGTGAATGGCATATATCTTCAAACTTCAGACCATAACGCACAGAAAATTCAAGTGTAAAAGAATTTTCTTTTGAATACATACCGGCCAGAATTTCCACTTTCTTACTACTGTGTCTCCTCTTGTCACAATCCTCCCCGTGTAAATCCTTCCCCTCCCTGACACAGGCTGTTGAAGGCATCCAGTACAAAAGTTATAAAGCAGGTCTTCATCAAACAATTACTTGTGAATTTTGTAGGTATATATGTTAGTATCTCTTGTAATACCAACAATGAGACAGAAATTTAGTAGAAAATGCTATAACAACTTGCACTAAGCAATTGTTCTAGTGTGCTGTAGGTTATAATCAAATGTTGAAGGGATTAAACTCTATAATCTTCACATCATCCATGTTACAAAACTCAATGTGTGACCACAACCTTTAGCTCTGCTGGTTTGACTATAGGACTATAGGGTATGTTTTCTAGAGTTCTCACCAAGGTTCTTATAGCTTACCGATAAAAGGTAAGAGGGAGAAAAAGAGAGAGAGAGCTACATTGTGTTTATGCATTTAATAGAAAGAGGACGGGTTTAAAGCAAGCAACCCCAGATAAGTTATGGCCAGTGATGACATCTTCTCTGATTGTGGATGTCATTCAGAAAGGCCGCAAAAAGTAATTTGCTTTAAATGAGGACATCTCTACAGTAGGATAGACAAAGTCACAAATGCAGTGCAACATGCAACAAGGTACTAAAGGTAAAATTAAACAGCATATTTTATAAATAAATTTAACAATTTAGTATACTCCATTATTTGCCCACAGTAGATATAAACCAGCCCTATGTCATGATATATTTATTGTTTTAAATTTCTCATTTCTATAGTTGCAGTAACTCACTGCAGTGTGTTTCTCTGGAACAGGTGTACTTAATCCACTTTCCTAGGTAGCAATTACAGTGTATCACAGCAAAATTTTATATTTTTATGTTTTAGTTCGATACTGTTAAAACATTAGTTAAATATATACTACTGTAGGTCATATTTTTTCTTCAATCAACCTCCAAATTATTTTCAACAATTTGAAATAAAGTTTTGACAATCCTTAAATTCTAGCAAATTATAAAATGAGCATAGTAATCCCACCATGCCATGTCTGATTCTGCAGCTTGTAAGATATTCACAAATCTCCTACTTAAGCAAATAATTTCTGCAAGATCTGAAAAATGAGAATAATTTCAAAATGACGAGTCATTCTAATTTTATTATACATGCACTGTTTTAGTTTTACTAAATTCTTACTGCATTATTATTTATTTAATTATTTATATTTTTCTTTTGTAGACTTGTGGATGATATTTCACAAAACAGCTATAGGATAATTGGTACCTAGTCTAAGGATTGAAGAAACATGATGCCCATATGATAGCTGTAGCCAAAAAAGAAGAGGATGTTTTTTTTATAAGTCAAAAAAGGGGATGTTGAGACTGACAGAAAACAAATATTGCTAGTACAGAATTTTTTAACTTGTGTGAACTGAAGATCACCATCTGCATGGAAAAGACTAGTGAGTTCAAATTGATTGTGCCCAAAAAAATTGAGTTTTGTACCAAGAGAAAACAAATACAAGTGTAATTTAAATGAAGATACAACCCAGATAAAAAGATTAGGGGCAAGCAATGGAAAATGCTGTTTCTCTCGTTAAGGAGTATAACTTATATTTTTTTGTTAAATAAAAAATAAAAAAATACGCTTGATACAGTTTGGAAAGAGCCTCGCTCAATAGGACCAAGTAGTATTTCTCATGTAATAGTAGTATCTCGTTTGATGATTCACAGTGCTTTATGAGGACCTACAAGACTCTGACCTTACTAGCAGAGCGCAAATGACGAAAATTAGAATGTTATCATTATCATAGCGAATATCCTAATTCAGCTGTCTTGAGTTCAAATGAAGTTGAACTGATTTGCTCATAATATGAAACCAAGCAAATGTCCCACTCAATTGGATGAAGGAATTACCTCCTAGTGAGTAATCTAATTAACTGAATGAACTCACAATTAGATTGAAATAAACTCACACCTAGATTGAAAGTTAATTCTTGGCCAAATTTCAAAGTTCAGAGTAGACAATTAACAACAGTGATATGGGAAAGGAAAAACAACTCACATTTAAAGCATCCAACTCCTTGTGCAAATCCATCACCCACAAACCCATCCTGACATTGGCACCTCAATCCTGAGGGCACTGAAGTGGCATTGATAATGTATGCATTGGCAGCACAGGTTGCTTTGGATGAATTGTTTGGCACTGCCCATTCCAACTTCACGCCACGCCTGCCGGTAATACTGCCCTGAGGAACAACCCAGCACGAGAATCCCCTGCACCCGAACTGTGAAAACACGGGAAACCCATCTCCTGCACGCCAAGCACTCCGATCGGAGAGCGGGTAACAGCAAGCAGGGTAACCACCTGCCCTGCCATCACAACCGTGCATTAGGGTTTTCTCACAATCTGCTTTGCACAGTGAAGAATCCTCACAATCATACAAACCCAAAATGTTCTCAGTCGAAATCCCAAAATAGTCATTCCCTTGGAAACCGAATGAATTCAAACCATTGTACTCGCGACAGGATGAGGAATTTGGGAAGTCCACCAACATACCATCAGTGAAGAATTGGAGGATTTGATAGCTTTGGGAGGCAATGTTGAGAAAAAGTGAGGTTGAATTGAAGCAAGAGAGACGGAAAGAATCAGAGAGTGACCCACAAGAAGTGTTGACATGAAAAGGGTATGGGATTTGAAAAGCCCCGCATTTCTCACCGCACTGATTTGGTTGAAATGGGTATTGTGTGAGAGAATGAGAAATGGGTTGTTGAAGTAGAAGTGTGAGGATGATAGAGAAGCCAAAGAGGAGATGAAACCTGTACGGAGACATGGCAAATTTGCAATGAAAGCTGAGGAACTAGAAATGGAGGAAAGAAATGGCGGTGAATTGAAGTAGTTGTAGTTGGTGGTGGTGGGTGAAAATGAGAAGGGGGGGATGAGAAACGTCCATGGGATGAGAGCATTGTTAGAGAGAGAAAGGGGGGGTTTTGGGCTTGGAAATAAGGGAAGAGAAGACGATTTGTCTGTGGAATGGGCTACAGCCGTAGTCATAGGAATGCTCGCGACATGCGAGCGCGTCGTTGTTTAGAGTTGGAATCCCCGCTCCGGCGTTCGCTACTCATCTCTCTCTATATGTATATTAGTTGCTTGTATACGAATTGCTGCTATGTGACTTCGAGATTCGATTATGTCGCCAATTTCGGAATGTCAGCATGTACGTGCGTGCATTTATATACTTTTATGCATAATATTTGTGTATTAATTTTTTTTAAAGGGCATTTTAGGAAGTATGGATACCAGTGTGCACGTACTGTACAATCCGGATTCCAAACACGACGATATGACAAATTGAAAAAAAAAAAAAACAATGGGATATGACAAAATTAATAATAATAAATATATTTTATGTATTTTTTTTAATTAATTTCTTGTAATATTATGAATCTAAATGCAATCATTCAACGTCAGATTCATTCCAAAACACATATAACAACAAGTATTTATAATTATCACTTAATAAATTTTGAAAAATTTTTAATCATTATATTATGTTATTATTGTTAGAAAAGACAAATTTTAATATTCAAAGTATCCAAAAAGTATTGCGTATGCATTTGAAGTAAAACTTATCGGGTAAGCAAATTAAATTAAATACATATATTTTTTAAAATTATGAATATATTTAAGAAGGCCATCTGAGAAGTATTGATATTAAACACGCATATGGTACGAGTACGTTATAGAAGTATCTAAACATTTTTGTAGAGTTGGAAGCCCCACTCCAACGTTAGCAACTCTACAGAGTGCAAATCGTCTGCGGTGGAATTGCCATCAAGTTGCCTAAAGTTTGTTTTACTCGGATCTTTGTTTCGCAGGACTTGATGCCGCATTTGGTTGGATGCAGCAATTACAAAAGTGAAAATGTTACTTATTTGTTACTACATTCACTCTAAAAAAAAATGTAACAAATAACTTCATGGTTCACTTTTAAATCATAACTAAATATATTTTTTTTTTAATACTTAGAAAAAAATAAAAAATAATAATAATAATAATAAGGACGTGGCTCTTTTCATTATTTTAGAAATCATCAAGTATTTTATTTGTTATCTAAAGTTAGTCTAAGTAACTTTAATCCTGTAATGGAACTCTTTAAATTAACATATGAATGTGTTTTTTTGGTGGTTATATATTTTTTTAGTAAAATTTAAATTTAAATAACAACATAAATAATATGTTAATTGAATTAGATTGATATGTGACTTGAGCAATATGTAAATACGTTTTTTTAGGATGAAAGTAGTGATAAATAAGTCAATATTCTTCATTTTTGTAACTGCTGCATCTAACTAAACGTGATCTCAAATGTTGGAAAGCAAAGACGTACATCACCAAATGTTAGCTACGTAAAATAAATTTTAAGGAACTTAATGGCAACTCCACGGCAGGGGATTTGCTCCCCTCTCTCTCTCCCTCTCAATGTGTATTATGTAGGGGATTTGGTTATGTTGTGAATTTCGGAATGTCAGCATGTATGTGTGTTCATTTTTTTTTTAAGCATAGTATTTATGTACTAGAATTTTTTTATTAAGGGCACTTTGGGAAAGCACCGATACTGGCAGTGCAATACGACAATTTTTTTTTTCTTTTTAAAAAAGGAAATTTTTTTTCAAGAAGAAGGATACCGGTATAATGGGATGTAGCAAAAATAAAAATAATAATAATATATATTTGTAATATTATGAATCTAAATGCAATCACTAATATAAAGTAACGGTTCATTCTAAACAAGGGTTGATACTTGATAGTCATCGCTTAATTTTTTTTAAATATTTAGTATACAATGTTATTATTATTGTAATAGACATATTTTAATCTTTAAAACTTGTAAAAAATGTGTTATAAGTATTGAATATTGAGGAGGCCCGAGATGACATGGGCCGGATATGACTTGCAAACGCGACATCCGGTCCGTACAGATGGGTCAAGCCTATAGAAAGACACTGCCATATGGGCCGAACGCGAATAAGCCCATCAAAGATGACCAGGACTCATGGAGGAACGGGCCTAAATCCAGCAGTCCATCAACATTTGTAAATATCTATAAATAGGAGAAGTAATGGAAAGAAAAGGGGGGGAGAGATATTTTTGGTTGAAATACAAGAATTCTAGAGAGAGAAAGAGGGAAGGAATTTCTTGTATCTTCAATTGGCGCCGTCTGTGGGAATCATGGAAGATTGGTTGATCAATGATTAATATCGCGTGGATTCAGACCAATTCGGGGGATCGAGACTCGATCTTTGTGAGTTGGATCCAGATCTGAGCGATTGTGACATACTCTGGAGGAATTTTAGTTCCTGTAGCTTTGGCAGAAGTGGCTTCAGATCTACGCAACAACGAGTTGTTCGATTGTGGCAGGATCTGACGGATTTAGAATTCGGACAATTCAGATCTCGTCAACCGTGAGCATAATTCGGAGAATTCGAAACCAGATCTGAAAAATTCCCACTCACGAAGCTTGAATCTACTCGCGAACTTGAGATTAATGCCTTTACTCCGTTCAGGAATAATGATAGGTGAAAGCTCCAATCCGATGGAGGCTGTCCAGCAAACAAAGCTTGAGGAGTTGATGAACTTGATCGAGGCTCTCAAAAAAGAGAATGCAGAATTGAAAGCTGGAATGCAACATCAGCAAATGCCCGCGGTTTCGCGTCCACCTCCGGCCGGAGAAGGAGGTGTTCAATCTAATATCGCGTATCAAGGCGAGCAGGACGAGAACAGTCAGTCAGCTCTCCACCGTGATGAAAGAAGGATGGATGATTTGCCGCCAAATGCTTGTCGAGTTGAGGATCACGAAGGATCGACTCACGTTGATCCGCGACATGAGCAAATCAGACAGAACGAAGCCATGACCTTAGATCCGCATCGGGAAAGGTTCAACCGAGATGAGGTGATAGAGGTTGATCGCCGCCAAGTTGCGTCGCCTTGGCAAAGAGGGCTCATAGAGGAACGGTTGTTCGATCCGTCCTACCGGCCCTCCATGGCTACAATCACTCATCGTGGTTCGGAGAGCAGAACCGTAGCCCACAGAGCTACCACTGGGCGCCAAAGAGAGAATGAAGCGCTCCGATCCGCAGCTCGAACGGTTGATTCACCATTCACTAACGAGATCCTGAATGCCCCGCATCCAAGGAAGTTTGCTATGCCAGTATTTATTCTGTTTGACGGAACAACCGATCCGATTGATCATGTGTACCATATCCAGTTGAAGATGGCCCTGAATACGGAAAACGACGCTTTAATGTGCAAATGTTTCCCTACAAGCCTAGCTGGACCGGCGCTTAGCTGGTTCAAGAACTTGCCTAAGAGCTCCATTGGTAGCTTCCGAGATCTGTGCGATCGGTTCATAAGTCAGTACTATGGGAACAAGCGTCCGCCAAAGGACATCTCAAGCCTATTCACAATGAGACAGCACAAAGATGAACGTCTCCAGGCTTTTCTCACCAGGTTTAATCTCACTAAAAGTATGGTGATCGAATGCCACCCTTCTACAGCGGTTCAAGCCTTCAAGTTAGCCATGACGCGTGGCACTCCGTTCCATACCAGTCTGGTAGTGAATACGCCGACGACTATGGATGAACTCAATGAAAGAGCCGACGGCTTTGTGCGCCTAGAAGAAGAGGAGGCAGCCAATGCTCGGACAGCGTCGCTCGTGTCGACCGAAGAAAAGTCCAAGGCAAAGATTAGGCAGAAGCAGGCTCAGCCGCAGCGTCAGACCTCCTGGAAGGCAGAAAAGAGGTCCAGGGAGGAAGAGCTGATCACTCCGCTGAAGGTCACTCTGGCGAGGCTATATCAGGAGAACAAAGATAAGTTTCATCCACCACTGCCAATTAGGTAACCCCTCGAACAGAGGGATCAGACTAAACATTGTGCTTTCCATTCCGATTTCGGTCATCAGACTAATGAATGCAGGAATTTGAGAAGGCAAGTGGAGATGTTGATAGCTAGAGGGGAGTTCGCGAGTTATGTTCAAGGCTCGGCGACAGAGCAGAATCGACCGATGGAACAAGTAAAAAGGAGCCATAAACAAAGCTCCCACAATTCACAACCAGTTCGTATAATCAATGCTATCCACGATCGACCCGAGCCCAGCGAAGATTCAGATGAGCTGCTCCGAGCGCGCCTACGGCAGGCGCAGATGAAGAAAAGGTCAGCAGTGTGAATACTCTACACCAGCAGATCACATCGATACAGATAAAGTTCGACAGGACGGACCTGCAGCGTGTTCAAATCCCCCATGAAGACCCTTTGGTAGTCAGTTTGACAGTGGCGGACTGCCTGGTGCGCAGAGTTCTGATCGATCCTGGGAGCAGTGCGAATGTCATGCCGAGGGACACATTTGATCGGCTCGAGATTAAACCAGAGAGGCTCAAGCCCACTTGGAATCCCCTGTTAGGATTCGATGGCAAGAGGGTGGAGCCCGTCGGAATGGTGGAAGTAGAAGTTCAAGCTGCAGAACGAGTTCTTATGGAAACTTTTGTGGTTGTAGAGATTCACCCCTCGTACAATCTCCTGATGAGAAGAGGATGGATTCACAGAGTCTAAGAAGTACCCTCAACTTTGCATCAGGTCATGAGGTGCCTCGGACCCGATGGAAATAAGGTGATAGACATTCGTGGGGATCAGGTTGCAGCCAAAGAGTGTTATTCCGTCACACTAAAGTATGCTAGGAAAGGGAAGGCGCCCGTCCGACCGGCAAGCCCCAGATAGCAATTACAGGAACCTCCGCCCAAGCAGAACAGGGTGAATGAGTCAGTTGACTTGACCGAAGAGCCCCTTCTGGATGTGCAGATCGATCAGTCCAGGCCAGAACGAACTACCAGAGTAGGAATAAGACTGACCAGGGAAGAGCGGCAAGAGCTAGCTGACTTCTTGTCTCACAATGCCGATGTATTTGCATAAAGTCACCTAGACATGCCTGGAATTAATCCGTCCGTATCCTGTCATTCTTTGAATGTCAATCCCAATTTCAAACCAGTAAAACAGAAGCAACGAAGATTTGCTCCAGAACGCAACCAAATCATAGCCGAGGAAGTTGATAGGCTGCTTGATGCGGGATTTATCAGAGAAGTACACTACCCTGATTGGTTGTCCAACGTCGTTGTCGTGCAGAAGAAGAATGGG